GTGACTGGACGAACTCCCGAACTTCCTATGGGTTTATAGAACGACCCCTAGACGGCCGACCGGGGAAAGCCCATTCGCCATGGCATACGGAACTGAGGCAGTCATACCGGTTGAATATTTGGTTCCAACTGTCCGAAGCTTAACATGGAATCAGGAATAGAATGACAAAATGCTGAGATTTAACCTTGATATGTTAGAGGAAAAGAGAGATGCTACGGCAATAAGGCTTGCATCCTATCAGCAGACACTGGCTAGTAGCCACAACAAAAGGGTAAATCATAGAGATTTCACACTTGGCGATCTGGTTCTGAAGAAGAAGGTAGGAATGGTTAAAAAGATGATGTCACATTGGGAAGGACCATACAGAATTACAGAAGTCATAGGGAAGGGGCATATATACTAGAGACCATGGTTGGAAGGTTGGTTAACAAGCCATGGAATGCTACATCTTTAAAAAGGTATTATTTGTAGAAAGTTTAAAGTTCTAATTTTGGCATTATTCATTTTCAATTATACATAATTCTAAAATTTATAAAAAGCTATCTTCTTCTGAAAAGTTGAGTGTATGAAAACAACAAAGTAAGTGGCAGCTGACATTATGAGCCGAACGTCAAAAACTTGCCAAAAAGTAAAATAATGAAAGTGCCAAGTGGCATTCTAGCCGAGCGCCAACCACTCAGCAAAGTAAGTGGCAGCTGACACTATGAGCCGAACGCCAAAAATTTATCAAAAAATAAAAGAGTAAAAGTGGCAAGTGGCATTCTAGCCGAGCGCCAACCACTCAGCAAAGTAAGTGGCAGCTGGCACTACGAGCCGAATGCCAAAAACTTGCCAAAAAATAAAAGAGTGAAAGTGACAAGTGGCATTCTAGCCGAGCGCCAACCACTCAGCAAAGTAAGTGGCAGCTGGCACTATGAGCTGAACGCCAAAAACTTGCCAAAAAATAAAAGAGTGAAAGTGGCAAGTGGCATTTTAGCCAAGCGCCAACCACTCAGCAAAGTAAGTGGCAGCTGGCACTATGGGCCGAACGCCAAAAACTTGCCAAAAAATAAAAGAGTGAAAGTGGTAAGTGGCATTATAGCCGAGCGCCAACCACTTAGCAAAGTAAGTGACAGCTGGCACTATGAGCTGAACGCCAAAAACTTGCCAAAAAATAAGAGAGTGAAAGTGGCAAGTGGCATTCTAGCCAAGCGCCAACCACTCAGCAAAGTAAGTGGCAGCTGGCATTATGAGCCGAACGCCAAGAACTTGCCAAAAATAAAATAGTGAAAGTGACGCCAAAAACTTGCAAAAAAAAAAAAAAAAAAAAAGGTGGCAAAGTGGCACACTAGCCGAACGCTAACCACTGACATACAGAGAGAAACCAGATCAGATAGCATTAAATCATTAAGTAAAGGAATTTTTGGCAAAAGTTCAACCAAAAGTCAGACATCTCATTAATAATGAAGTTTATGAGTTACAAAAAATGAGGTATACAGATGACAAAAGTGCAGAAGGAAGGAGGTCAGTACATCAGAAAGGTTCTAACTATAAGCATTTGCCCCGTCAGCTTCTTGATAGTGCTAAACGGTCCCCTCATCACTGTTGGCAGTTCCGTCCTCACAAGGAGGAGAATCAAGCTGAATGACAGAATCATTCTACTGAGTTCTATCCTCAGTAGCATTGGAAGAATCATTTTGCCGAGTTTCATCCTCAGCAGCAGTGGCGGATGGAGTCACGGTGGACAGAGGAAGAACGTCCAGAGGTTGAGCAGTAGAGGGAGTAGGAGTGATCCTGGAAGAGGCGTTCTCTTGGCATTCATTAAATATGCCCTCAACAGGGGTGGAGTCTGGGTCGGCATAAACACCCGGATGATCAATCTCCAGCTCTTTGTCAACCTCATCAGGGGTAGAACTGGTCTGACCTTCAGTTGGAACACGATCGGTATAACCCTCTCGGAACCCCTGAGCATATCTGAGGGCCCCAACCCTGGAAAACCGAGCGTGCAGAGCTAGCACACCACCATTTACCTTGCTGATGGTGTTGAGTAAAGCATCATGCTCGTCTAGAGCTCTTTTCTCAAAGGCCATCCGAGCGGATTGCTCATCACTCAGAAGGCGCTGAAGTTTTTCCTTCTCAGCCTTAAGAGATTCTCGCTCAGTATGCCAGACACTCTTCTCAAGTTACAGAGCGTCCTTTTCATCCTGAAGGGAGCTTGTCTCCTTTTTCAGAGTATCTCTCTCTTTTTCAACTTTACTGAGCTGAACCATCAGCTCAGCAGTTCTGGTGATGATGATCTTGTTTTCTTTATTGGCAGTATCAAGGCTATCAGAAAACTTACGAGCCCTGGCATTCCCCATCTCTACTTGCTTCTGCATGGCCATCATCCCAAACAGGGTCTGCAGAGATATACATGATAACTAATTAAGCCGAGCAGGTGATCAGAAGAAATCAAATATAAAGACTATGTAAAAATTTGCTGACTGAGGGGGAAGACTTACCTCTATGGCAAATAAGGGGAACCGGCTGAACAATTCTTTCTGAGACAGACCCTTGGTTACCTCAATATCTTTAGGAGTCCACATGCTCCTGTAGTATGCCATAGCGGTCTGACCATCCTTGAACATGGTCTCGTCCGGCTTTACAGACGATCCATCCGTTCGAATAAAGCGAGGGTTCCATGGTGCTGATACAGAGGCAGAGGTATTAACAGAGATAGGCCCAGAGAGGGCAGGAGGCCTAGTCAGAGGGGGCCTAGTCAGAGGAGGCACGGACATACTTGGCCCAGAGGGCCTAACCCTTTGTGACAAAGGAATGTCATAAATGCTAAAAGCACTGTCAGGCTGAGGCCTTTTTCCTCTCGCCTTTTCCCGAGCAGCAACAGTAGCAGAGCTGGGAAGGTTGCTAACAGAAGGGGTCACGTTCGGATTGACAGGTGGAACATTGGAGATCGGATCGGTAGCTATCACGGTCAGATCGATGGAAGGAATTGTATCAGAAATAGTGGCAGAAGAATATGCTGAAGCTGGGGAAGAAGTTGCCGCAGGGGCAACAACGGTCCGGGGGGTTGCTTTCTTCCTGCCGAAGGAAGGGATCTGGAGTTGACTCATTGTCTTGCCAAGGGCCGAGAGAGCAAGAAGGTTGTCTGAGGTAAGGAGGTCCGAGCAAGAGGGAATGTCGTTCAGAACGTACTTTTTCAAATAGTTATCCCTATCCCTGCAAACACCGTAGCTCAAATCATCACAAGGAATGCCTAAGGAACGGCATAAGAAAGTACAAAAGCGAGGAACGCAAATCTCACAAGGACAGTCACTCTTATGGGTTTTGTATTTTTTATACACCAAAAGCGCTCGGGATAGGGAAGTCCTCTGCGGCTGGAGAAAACCAGGCTCCCCTAATCCCAATTATATTTTTCCTCCAACTCTTCTCAGATTTGATTTTATCTTTGCATATGGACCTCTTCTCAATTTGGTAGAAATGGTAAAACGGTTCATCAGTTCGGATTTTGCTAACCTTGTAACAGAGGAGAAAATCTATGTGGTCAAGATTTAGACCTCTGTCACGGTTTAGAAGCAACATAACAGATAGAACCCTAAGAAAATTTGGGTTTACTTACAAAGGGGAAAGTTTCAGTTTATTAAAAACGTAGCTAAAGAAGGGATACGGAGAGAACCTAATGAGATTTAATTGAAGATTGGAAAACAAGACATCTCCGGGAAGAAGGCCAGCACCAGTCCTAATATTTACATCTTTGGGGCAAGCCCTAATTTGAATGTCATCAGGAAGGTTAAGTCTTATACGAAGAACACCTAAGTCTATAGTCATAGTGAAAACGAACAAAGATTCTGAGGAAGAACAGCAAATCCCTAGAGGAGGAGAAAAAAACAAAACTAACCTCGAAAAATTGAACACCACGAAGAGCACTGCAAGATCACCGGAAAAAGAAGCTTTTGCAAAAGTTCGTCGGAGGAGATTTAACTCAAAAGAGACAGATTAAGATTTGTCTAACGGTAAAGCAAGATAGAGACGGTAAAGAAGATTGATGGAACATCTCTGAGGCTTATAAAGACAAGGTGGGCCTGAAGGCCGAAGAGTCAGGAAAGCGAGGAGTTTTTTGAATCTCGAAGCATCGACTCCCAAATCCAACCATCCATTTTTCCATGTGATCTTTTCGAGCCGTCAAGCCATGATTAGCAGCCTCTAATAATTACCCCATAATTAATTAAGGAGTAATTATGGGGGCAGTTGAGGATACCGGAAGTGACATGGGCCGGATATGACCCACGAAAAGAGGATCGGGCCGGGAAACTGGATTCAGTCCACGCGATGACGTTGCGGAATGGGCCGAATGCATGGGATATTCCGAGAAGAGCTAGGCCCGTAAGGAATGAAGCCTGAGGTCAAGGGACCCAACTTAGGGAATCACTTATAGCATTCTAATAGCACTTGTAAATGCCTATAAATAGGCAAGAAGGAGAGAATGTAGAAGGGATTTTTTAATTGAAAATGTAACGAGACTCTGTCAAAATAGAGAGAGTTAATTCTTTGCATCTTCAGGTTCAGTTTGGTTCTTTTCTAATTCAAATCGAAACTTAATTATTTTTTTAATTTTTAAAATTCAACCGAACCTGAACCATTCCATCATAGAACTGACACAGTTTGATTTTGGTTCGATTCAGTTCACCAATTTTAATAGTTTTTTACACACCTTAATTTGCAGAAGCCATAAATTTATTAGATTATCAAGTGGTGTCAAAAAAAAAAAAAAAAAAAAAAATCATTTCAATTAAAACTAAATAAATTTAATAAAACATATAAAGAAAACCCAACAAAATTTTTGAAGAGACCAAGCAACTTCTATCCAAAAACTATTTACGGATTTCTCGGAAGGATACGCTTTGGAAAAGTTGTGGTTCGTTGATCACCACCCATGTGAGTCAAGACATAGCCCACTAGTCATAGCCCATTAATAGGGGTATTTTAGGTATTACGCGGACTAGTTAATTCCCTCTGTCCTCGTCCCGTAACTCCCATTTCTCTTTAGAGCGCGCGCACACATTAAACCAAGAACCACAATCAACCCTAGAAGGGCTCGTCCTTTCACTTCCCCCATCTCGAAAACGCTAAGGAAACCCGAGTTCTTCTTTAACATTTTCGCATTAAATCGTCTTCTGTTTTCACCCCCATTTTGTTTTTCATGTTTTATTATTTGTTTTAGATTTGTTTTCAGGAAACAGAATCCAGTCGAAGCAGATTTTGGCCCTTGTTTCGAGAGGGCTCTAATTTGTTTCTGCAATTGCTTTCCGTATGTGGGTTACTCCGGTATGTTTTTGTTCTCTCTTGTCTAATTTTCTGTTCTGATGAAATTAGGGTTTCGTGTCTCCACACATCAATCGTAAGGAAGTGTGGACGTTTCTGAGCGTTTGGAGGCCGTGAATCCAACATCACTGTGAGTACCAACTCAATATTTTTTCATATTTTCTTTTGCTTTTCTTTATACTCTTATTTTATGGAATTATCGGTCTTTTCTGTACTTTCAAGTCTTGAAACGATCGATGGTTGGATAAATTAGGGTCTTCGGAGGTTTATGTTTCTTCAAGATTTCTCTCAGACAACTCTTTCTTTGTGCTTTTGGTTGTTTAACAGAAAACATTTTCCCAGGAAAAAAACTAATTACAGTTGTTGCAAGAATCATGATAAAATGGGTGGTACCATAGAAATATTTCTGTTAGTGGGTTTGTCCCCATATCTTCAATTCAATTAATGGGGTATATAGTTCTTTACCCATGAAACACTCATAGTTTGTTCATGGTGAAGATCTATGGTCAAACCAAGTGGAGTTAAGAGATTATTGTGTGGTATGGTTGTTTTTATTCATCATGAGATTTGCAATTTATTCTCATGGGCTCATGGCTTGAGATGGTTTGTTTATGTTTCACAACAATTTCTGTTATGAGATTATTGTTGCAATGTAACAGACTGCGTCCATTTTATGACTAGTGATGGTTGTGGTGTTGTGGGATTTCTACATGCATGGAGGGTAATGATGATGGTTGGTTGCTAGTGTGGTGATGATGGAGGGTGGTTGGGTATAATTGTTGTGGTGCTGGGAGAAATGGTGATAAACTGGTTTATGTTTGTGTAGACGTTTTGTCAAATATATTGGAATATGTTTGCTTGGCAGTTCTTTAGTGTGATCATAGGGGAAAAAATAGATTGGCAATGGTGGTAGTGTGGCTAACAGCGGTGTGATGATGCTAGGGTTGTGTTCCCCTCCCCACCCCCCTCCTATTTAGTTTGTAATCGAGAAAAACAATATTGTATTCTATAGTTTCATTTGCTTCAGTAAGTGAACTTATTTGTTTAAGTAACTGATTGTTTTTTAAGATATATTTTCTTTTTATCCATCACTGTTTCAGTTATGTTCCTTACTGTTCTACTTACCTTTTTTTTGTTTATGGGATTATTAACGCATTAAACATTTTAATCAGGGTGGGGTTTTCCTTGAAAAGGGAAACATGGAACACGACAAATTGTCATTGCTTTCTCCAGTTCTTGACAGCAGACCAATTGATCAATGGAAAGTTACAGAACTTAAAGAAGAGCTCAAGAGGCGGAAATTGGCTGTTAAGGGGTTGAAAGAAGATTTGATAAAACGGTTGGATGAAGCAATTCGGAATGAAATTGAAGTTCCGGGAAACATTGATAATGTTTTTGTTGGTATTCCTCATACTGAGTCCGAGTCTGAACTTGCTGATACAGTGTTGGTTGGGGCTGAAACAGCTAGGGATGTGATATATAATGGTGATAACAGAACCGGGGTGGATGGTGTAACTGTCCAGCTTCACACTGACGATACTGCAGCATCACTAGGTGAAGGAGAATTTCAGGATGGGGAAGTTATAGGAAGTACTGATTCTGCTAGCAAAGAGGAGCTGTTAATTCATGCAACTTCTGTGGAAATGAGCATTACTATCTCCAAGAATGTGGTTTCTGAAATTGCCTTGAGTGCTCAGGAGTCACAGAACAATGAAACCCCGGACGAGAGGGGGAATTTAGAGCCCCAGCTGGAGAATGTGGATCCAAAGTCTTCTCATGAGGATGTCAAACTTAAGTCTTCTGATCCAAATAACCAGGTATCTGAGATCAGCCCTGTTTTAGGGTTTCAAGTAAAATCTGATCTTATTTCTCCTGATTCTATCTCAATTAAAGAAAAGAATGAACTAAAGGAAAATTTAATTGCTGATAATGTTACATTAGATCTAGATATTAAGCCTGAGATGGTGAAGCCATCATCCACTAACGTTGTCCCTGATGGTGGCGAACTACATCCAATGGATGTTGAAGAGCCACTTGAGGATAAGGTATCTGTTGAGGAGAGAGATGACGATAATGCTGAAAATGCAGATATTAGCAAGAAAGATGGTAATGCGGATATTAGTTCTTCAGAAAAGTTACACGTAGACCGAATTATTGATGATGGTTACATGGAGGAGGATTCATTAGAGAGTAAAACAATTGAATTTCCTGTTGAAGTAGGAGATAGGGGTGAGAAAACTGAAGTACCTGTGGTGAAGGAGGACGATCCTGTTGATGTTGTGGGGGATGATATTCCTGCAAACAAGAAAGACATTCATGGTAAAAATGAGAATGGTCTTGTTGCACCCACCGTGAAAAGAAAGTTTAAAGGTAAGCTTTTTTGCTTCTGAAGGCTTTTCTATCTGTTTCATTTTTTCGTGCCTTTGATATTTTATTAATTTAATTATTTTGTTTGTTTGTTAGTTAAAGGTTGTCTCTCAGGGTGTGCTAAGTATATCATTGTTGATCTAGTATCGACAATGCTTGTAGATTTTAATATTTAGCAGATCTGTGTCACTTCTTCTGGATTTTAATGTATGCCATGCATCCGTAAGGTTTTTATTGTATTTGTCAAAATTTATTTATTTATTTATTTTTTTTTGTGGGGCTATGAAAGCAATAATAAAAGTAGAGAAGGCATATAGATGAGCAAGACACTGGTTAAATTGGCGGTGCCTATGTGCATGGGCTGATAAATATTCTGCTTGCTTATGTAGTGCTCGTGCCTCGACTGTCAAACATTTTAATTGGTCTGGTATAGGGGTTGAATGCATACACTTAGTATGTACAATAAATTAAACAATTCTGGGACTCAAATTACTTTTAAACTTGGTAGAATGAATGTTATGCATGTCTTTGAAGTAAAAGGAATAACCACATTTATAAATATGTTTTGACTTGTTTACATTGACTTTAAAACATTAAGTTTCCTCATTTTTTTAAGCACTCCATGTTGCACTTTGCTTGCAGCACTGAATTATTATCTTCTTGTTTTCCATAATATTTTGCTTGTGTGAGCATTTGCTGACTGGTGGTGGGGTGGTTTCAAGGTTGAGGAGGACATATACATAACTTTAGTTTAGGCACAGTTTAAGAAATGCTAGTATTATGAAATAGGATTAGTGCTGGTTTAATTAGGCAATTATCTGAGTTGTTTGGTGGCGATGGGATTTGAAGATGAATTCTGGTTAACAGTGGCTCTTTGTATGGAGAGCTTTTAAAAAAGTCCAAGGAATGTGTTGAAAGATATCCAGATTTTAGGTAGTTCTTCCGGTGGCACAGCTATTATAATGTCATCCATATTAGAGATGCCGTTATTGTATAATTGGGTGTTAGTATTTGACATTATAATATACGGGTCATTGGATGCATGGCCAGATTATGATTTTCAGTAGTTGGCGGCAGTCAATCTAGTTTTGCTAAGAAAATCAAAATTTTGATAGAGCACAACCTGTGCTGTTCCGAATAGACTGGTTATAATGGATAAGGCGGATCTATAGATAACTATCTCTGCCTATCTGATGTGATGATTGATGCGTGATGATGAATCAATTAGGCTGTTGTACTAATTGCATTATAAATAAAAATACTTTATTTTATTTTATCGTGCGAGGATGCTGCCATGGTTTGAGCATTTTTATGCTGGATGAATAAGCAAAACTTGGGTTACAAAGAGGAATACATGAATGAAGATGCTGGTATATGAAGCTAGTTTAGGTTTGTTTCATGTTTGATTGGAGGATGGATGCTAGAATGGGAAGTTTGAATTCAGACAAGGATCTAAAAGAATCAGAGGGCATCAATGTAGTGTTTGGGGAATAAAGGTTTTTAGATTGCCTTGTCCACTTCTACTAAACATGTCCTCTGCCTTATGTGTTGCGCTTTTTTTCTTATCAAGCATTTACAACATCAAAAATTGACTAAAAGCAGATCAGAATATAGTAAATGGAATCTCTTATAAAAACTGCAACATGAATTTGCATGCAATTTCAGTTAGGATCAAGTGTCCGACATCTTTAGTTTTGTGAAGAAGAAAAGGTTGTTTATACCTTCTTTGCAACCCTAAAAGAGAAATCTAGTTCGGCCTGCTTGTTATCATTATTAGAACTGTTTTTTTTTTTTTCCCTCCCCTTTCCTTTTTCAATTTAAAAATTAGCATTTAAAACAGAAACATGTTTAACATGGTCTTTTGGATTCTCCTTTTTAAATTTTCTCTTAGGCCAGTATAGAGACATTTAAAGCACCTCCTTTTTTATTGTTTCCAAAAGCTCCTTATCATTTTTGGTTACAGTGTTTAAAAGATTTGAAGAAAAAAGCTACTGAAATTTTTAAAATTGGTCTCACTGAAGTTTTTTTAAAATGGGAAGCTTTCAGAAAAGTAGTTGTGTTATGTGCAGAAATTAAAATTTCAGAATTTTTATCAAATAGACCCTAAAAAAAAATAAAAATAAGAAACTTCTTTTTATATGCATTTGTTGTTTATAACCTAAGTCACATGATTCGCCAAAGAAGGTCGGCGATTTGCGTTCCGTGCACGAATTTCCGAATTGAGAGCGAATTCGGCAGGAATTCGCGAACTCGTTTTTGGGAATTCACGAATTCATTTTGAGAATTCGTGAACTCATGTTTTGGAACGCGGATACAAATATTTCGCATTCAACATCCGCCACGTGTACTGTCCAAGCATCACCGATGCAAGAAATCACCCATCTCTTTCATGAAATCCGACCTCCTCCATCTCTGACAAGAAATAAGAAAGAAGAAACCAATATTTTAAGAAGAAATCAAACCTTCCGATGCTTGACCTTAAGATTTAAGAGAGATATGAAATGACCAGATCCATGAAAGAGAGAGAGAGAGAGAGAGAGTTGTGTGACTGGCATCTAGCGGGCTGGCGCTGCCGGCGGATCATGCGATGGTCACGGTGGTGTTGATTTGCGGAAGAGGACTTTGCTGCTGGTTTTACCGTTTTAGTTTCAGGTTTTAGGGTAAGGAAACCAATTATACTAGTACATTGGATAAAGTTTTATTTGGATGACGGGTTGAGAACAATTATACTACATTGGACCGTATTAATGAAATGATGCTTATTGGGCCGAACTTATAATAATAAGGGTTAAACTTTTAAATGTAGAATAATAATATACATGGGTTTTAAAATTAAAGAGCTTGAATATATATATATATATATATATATATATATATATATATATATATATAAAATATAGACGCTCTCAAGACGCTCCCGCTCTCAAGTATTTTGGATATTGACGCTCTCGCGCTCCCGTTCCCTCTCCCGCATTATGTGACTTAGGTTATAACTTTTGCCATCTTTATTTTCAGATATCAAAGCTATCAGAATATGCATTTGAAATATAAACCAAATAAGGTCGATAACAGCTTCTAAATATGTGAGGTTCACGAACATAGTTCTGTGACAGTATGCGAAGAGGCATAAGAGAATTAATAAGAGAATTTGCAATTAGATTTTTAGTGATGATTAAGGTTGGGAAGATGAGTAAGGGTTGCGAGTTGATTAGATTTACCTTTATATAACTCGATTATAATAAATAAGATGGGTCCAAGGTAGGCTAGCTGACCCACCAATACATATCCAACAGGTAAAATTAAAATTGAATAATTGATACAATTTAAATATTAAACAGATTTTTCTTTTGTTGTTTTTATATTATATAATAGTTCGAGATAACTCATTTCATTAAAATATAGGTTACTCATATCATTTGGTTGACTTTGGATGTTCATGCATACCTTTTTGATTACTTGGGAAAATAATGGCGATGCCTTGTTGATAACAAACCGTAGGCTCCTTGTTGCTTATTATTAAGAAACAGTTTAGGGATGGCAAGGCAACTTTTTTTTTTTTCATAAGCAAGCAACTGAATCTTTAGGTTGTCTGAGAGTTGCATAGTTAATTAGTAATGATTCCTTACTCAGCAGCTTATGTTACACTATTAAAGTTGTGTCTTATTTAACTTGGTCTTGGGTATCTATGGTCACTGGTCATACCTGTTAACAAGCTGTTTTTACAGACCAAGGAGTAGTTGGGAACATTGAGACTTCAAAGAGGCATCGCAGGTGGAGCTCTGAAAGCCTCAAAGTTCCTGAGCCACAAATCATTACTCTTCCATCTTCGACTACTCCTAAGGATACATTTCCATCTAGTGCTCTGAGACGCAACTTTGCTAGATCTGTCTCTACAGTTAGTGAAGATGCACCCAAGGAACATGTTGGTGAGTTCTCATGGTTCTTCTTATCTGATATTATATTTGTTCAGGAATGTTTGCTTCAGTATTTGAATGGTGTCATTCCCTTTATTTTTTTTAACAGTTCCTCCATCGCCAAGAACTCCTACAAATTCTCTCAGAATTGATCGTTTTCTGCGGCCTTTTACACTAAAAGCCGTGCAAGAACTTCTGGGAAAAACTGGTACTCTCACCAATTTTTGGATGGACCAAATCAAAACCCACTGCTATGTCACTGTATGTTTTTTACTCTCTCTCTTTCTTCCCTTTGCCCCACCCAAAAAAATAAAATAAAATAAACTCTTTTCACGTGGTATTATTGTCATGATAAATTAGTGGTTTTGATATAAATGTGGAAGTTTTTTTCTTTCTGGGGATGGGGATGGGGCTGGGGCTGGGGCTGGGGCTGGGAACATGGATTCTCCCTGTTCATCCTCAAGGTTCCGAAGATCTTTGGAGTGAGAAATAACTGAACCACGTTTTTTGGTGATTACTTTGTTGATGCAGTATTCATCAGTGGATGAAGCCATAGCGACTCGGAATGCTGTTTACGACTTACAATGGCCTTCCAACGGAGGACATCTACTGGTTGCTGAGTTTGTTGACCCCCAGGAAGTTAAATTGCGGGTGGACCCTCCTCCTCAATCTCTGGCAACACCTGTCAGTACTGGTCCTAACATTCCTTCTGCTCCACCCACCTTGCTGCCTCAACCATCTCCCCGGCAACATGTTAAGAGGCAGCAGCTCCCACCTCCACCACCCACCTTGTTGCCTCAACCATCTTCCCGGCAACATGTTCAGAGACCTCAGCTTCCACCTCCACCACCCATCTTGCAGCCTCAACCATCTCCCCGGCAACATGTTCAGAGGCAGCTGCTTCCACCTCCACCACCTCTACCCCATCCGCTGCCATTGTCTACCCCTCCCCCAGCAAGGGAACGTCTTACTCTACCACCCCCACCTCCACTTCCTGAGAAAGTTGACCCTCCAGTCATCACTCTGGATGATTTATTTAGGAAAACCAAGGCAAACCCGCGCATCTACTACTTACCGTTGTCTGATGAGCAAGTTGCAGCAAAGCTGAAGGCGCAGGGAAAAAATGCCAATCTGTAGGGATTAGGCTGTTACTTATACCAGCTGCTATTCGGTTATTCTAACGGATTGGTCAGTATGTAAGATAATGGTTAGAAAGTATCATATAATTGCGTCTTTGCAGGTCTGCAGGTGTTGCTTGTAGGAAGGAACTTTTCCAGGCGAGGTACTGGAGGCGCAGGTTGGTAGATGGATTTGGGTTTTCTGGAAGACTGCTTTGGTTTGAAGCCGAGTTTAAGATGGGTTTAGAACTCAATGAACTGTTATATTTTTGTATGTGAGTGGATTGGCTCAAGTTTGGTCTCATATACTTTCACTGTTGAGCCAGAGGTCCAACGTTATTGAACTCCAACTGTTAGCATCTAATTACTTAACTGACAATATTTTGATATCCATCTTTATAGACAGAAATTTATATATCCACAAAATGTTGAATTTAAATTTGTGGCTTTTGTAGACTCATGATTATTTTCTGGCGCTTGTGAAATTGTATGGTTGTAGCATTTTCAAACCTCCGTGCTTTGTGTTTTTAGAAATTATTACTAGGTTGGCTCAGGTTTTACTACGGAATTATATTTGCTTAATGACCGAACCTAGCGTTCCAACATGGTTAATGAATATTTTGCAATAGATCACGTATGGAACGTGTACTTTTGAGCTGCTTGTATGTAAAAGGAGGAGGATATATCAACCTAGCATCTAGCATATGGCACACCTTTTCTTCTCAAGGGCCAGTTAATTTTTTATTTTTTAAATTCTTTGTTTGATTTATATTGTAGCATTTATGTTATAATTTTAGTTTAAAATCTCATGTGTATTATTATTGTTCATCGTGTAAGATTTAATTTATGTTTTAAGTCAGCTTCTGAGCTCTATATGTGTTCATGAGATACCAACAAGGTATGAGCATTGGTACAGCTACTGAGCATTGGTCTATTTATCCAAAAAGTTGGTCTATTTATCCAAAAAATTAAGCTGTTAGGTAATGTTACATGCTCATCCATTTATATCCATTTCATTTTTCGTTCGAATTTGGTGTGGGACAAGTCTTTCCTTATAATATTCTCCCCCACTCGAATTCTAACGCCCTGTTGCGGTAAGACCATCCTGTCTATCCGGGTGGCTCACCTGGACGCCTTTTGGGTCGGATGCTTGGCGTGGCACGGCACCGGATCAATGATTGGGTTTGGCTTTGATATAAATTATACCGGGTTGACGTTTGTGCATTTACCAAAACACTTAAGTAACTAAGTAGCATTACATTTATATTTATTTCACTTTTCATCTGAATCCAACGTGAGACAAGTCTCCTGTATATAACAATTGGGCACCCAAAAGTTGTGGCCAAAAGTTGTGGAGCGGCACTATTTACCCTATTAAAAGGATATGAAATTTAAAAATGATTTACTTTGCTCTGAATTTTTAAACAAGAAAATTCTTGTTTTCTTCTTTTGATTCACATGATGAAATTTTTTTTTTTTTTTTTTTTCCCTTCCCACGGTATTTCAAAATTAATCAAGAGTCATTATTACACGTGATGGACTGTTGACACAATGAAAAAAAAAAATAATAATAATAAAATAAAATTCCAACATTTTTTAAAAAAAATTTATTTTTAACTAATGCTATTTTTTTCAGGTTTTTTTTTCTCCCAATTATCGAGTCTGCCGATGAGCGAATATAAGAGTGGGGCCTTTAAAACCACGTGAACGGCACGTGCATCCATATGCTATTTATTGACTCGTGTAAGCCTTTCCCACGCCGTTGCGGCGACTCTCTAGGGTTTCATAACTTACCGAATAACCCAGCAACAGTAAGATCTATCGATTACTTTTTTTCTACGTATTTTCCGAGCATCCAAACACAAATTTACTCACATTCTCAGTCGATCTTCTTCTATTTATACAGGAAAATAAACCCTCGTAGAACCACACATGGCGGCGGGAAAGAAAACGGTAAGATCTCTTGTTTTTAATCAATTTGATTTGTTTTAATGTTCTGTTTTGTTTATCTTCGTTGTGATTGTTTTGTAAAAGATATATATATATATATATATATATATATATATATATTGTGATTTTGTAGAAGAAGACTCATGAGAGCATCAACAGCAGGCTCGCTCTTGTGATGAAGAGCGGCAAGTACACGCTTGGTTACAAGACAGTGCTTAATTCCCTTCGACATTCCAAAGGTTTGTCCCTATAACCCATTATCGGTTTTTATTTCTGTCCTCCCTGTTTGGTTACTGAGAAAAATTACAGAACGGAGAAGAGTGCAAAGTCCTAGTTCTAAAGTTCTCGTTAATTGAATTGGATTCTTATTGGTCCTTGCAGTAAACACGTTAATATTTTTTATTTTACATCTTTTTTTATAAACAATCTAGAGATCCTGATATTCAGATTAATCGATCGTTTGCTGGAAATGGCAGGAAAATTGATAATCATATCTAACAATTGTCCACCACTGCGGAAGTCTGAGATTGAGTACTATGCAATGCTTGCGAAAGTTGTGGTCCACCATTATAATGGAAGTAAGTGCTTAATCTTGCTGATAAATGCTCATGTACTGCTTACTTTATTCTCACTCATTTTATGCTGTCAGTTAGATTTGTATTTATAGTAATTGCTCTGAAGAGGGTCTTTACCACCGCTCTTTGTCTATACTGTTACATTGTTTTTGTAGTTTTGGATAGTGGGACTTTGGAATCTAATGGGGAACTGGTGATGAAATGTGTTGTCAAGGTGTTTCCGCCTTGTCTTGCATTTGTGTATATGTAAAATTTGACACACAAATGTATATGGAACATAAGCCATTGATAATGGTGGAACATGTACCATTTTTCACCCTTTTTGGCTTCAAGGATACGCCTTGTCCATCTAACTTCCTGTTGGAAATATTTGATCCCGTGCGATGATTTTGTGCAACAAATTGGTCAGGGTTTGAGTGAAAGTTCTACCTTGAACTGTCAGTGGGACACACACTCTACAGAATAGAGTGGATTTTGTGAGATGGGGTGAAGGAGGCACTCACCAATCTTTAGGGTTATTGCATTCATCAATTAAGGTTTCATAGTTTATATGTTTTGATCCATAAATGACCTTTTTGAAGTTCATAAACTTTTTTTGTGGCACTTACCTTAAATTGACATTCTAATGGAAATAGGACACCAATCACCATTAGGGTCTATTGCATTCATCAATTAAGATTTCAAAGTTTATATGTTTTGATTCATAAATAACATGTTTGAAGTTTATAAACTTTTTTGTGGTACTTGCCTTCAATTGAAAGTCTGATGGAAATAGGACAGGACACTTTGGTTGATCGAGGGATAAATTAAATGCTACTGACCTTTTGTCAATTGATCGACCTTTGGCTTGATTGATTGAACTTTGCAAAATTCAATCCTTCATATTAAACAGAATCTCTTCTAAATACTGCACATTAGAAATTGGAGTGAGGCAACCTAGAACATATAGATTATGTTTTGAGTGCATTATGACAAATCCTTGATAGAAGTTTGTTTCTTTAATTTATCAGTGCATATAGCATGATTACTGTGTCTTAGGTTTTGATTATTAACTTGTGCTGTGTTAATGGATATTTAAACACCAATAAGGAGTTCAGCATAACAGGCAGTTTGCTTGGATGACTAGTCAAGGAGATTAAGTGCTTGTCGAGACGTAGATTACATGAGGAGCAATATATTGGCGGCATAATAATCTAAAATTCTATTTTTGACCAGTAATATCATCGAGTACTTGTAGAAAGCATTCATTTTATCTTAATTTAATTATTCAACATATAAAGTGTTCTGTTCCCAATGTTTATTTAAGTAATCAGGGACAGATTAGCCTGAACTTCAAATAGGGCTATGACATCCTTCTTCAATTTATCTTCTTCTGTTGTACTATTGATGAACTACAAACTACTCGTTTATTCGTTCAACATTTTACCGGAACAATATTGTCCATTACTGCTTTACAAGCAATTCCTTTTGGTTGTGAGTATACCTGAATCTTTCAGGTATTGGGTTAGTGTGTTAGATTTCGTTTTCTTTCATATAGTCTGCTTAAATTAAATAAGAGAAACAAAAATGAAGTGAATGATTTTTCCTTGAACTAGCGTTATGCATTTTATTTCATTTTTTTTTTTCGTTCTTTCCTAGAATCACAGTGTAGGGATAGTGTTTTTTGCCACTCGTTGTTTTCTTTGCCACTCTTCTTTCTTGATCGATTGTTTGCAACCTAATTTCTTCAGGAAATCTTGTCTATTTGACATTCATGGCTAGAATATAGAAACTTTTTATGATTTGTTGGTGTAATTAATGCGGACAAATTTAGTGTTCTACGTATTAATATCTCTCTCTCTCTCTCTCTCTCTCTCTTTCTCTCTCTCCCAGACAATGTTGACTTGGGAACAGCATGTGGCAAGTATTTCCGCGTGTCATGCCTTAGCATTGTTGATCAAGGTAGAAAAAAATATTTTATTAGTGTATTAAGTGATATTCTATTGAGTGATGACCTTTCTACAAATTGCATTTTTGTCATGCAGGTGATTCTGAAATTATCAAAACATTGTCTGGTGATCACTAAGAAGATTGGTGTTGATGCATTTCTATATCCCCTCGTGAAACAATGATTATTAGCATGATGTTTATTTTTTTCGGTTCAGAATATCTTATAGAGACCTGATAATTTGTCACCATCCAAGCATGTTTTTTTCTTCTTTATTTGTGGACGTGCCTTTTGAATTAGCAAATGTGATTTGATGCTTCACTGACAAAAAAGGATGGATGAGAAGAAGCTGATGATATCTTTATTGGGTTAAATTTTCCTTTGGATGCTTAGGGATGATGATTGCCTGTGGGTTACTTGATACAGTTAAAATGTTCTAGGCATTTGTATCCGGAGTGTTTCAGAAATCCCAGGTACAAATGTTATTGGCGTCCATGGCTGGATATGCATAGAAGGACAATGCAGCTTCCTATTTTAGAGGAACATTTCATCAAGAACTTAGCTCTTCTCTTTTTCTTTTTTAATGACCACGATGGTGGTATTGGGCCTCTTACAACAGCTCATAATCTACTACCGGACACATGTAGTATCCTCGTCCCACCAGATGATTACTCAGAATTTTTGTTTTTTTGGGAACTCTTGTGGGATGTGAGGTGAGAGTGTCTTTGCCATTAGGCTTATTTTCCTGGCCCTCTTCTTTTTCTATGTGGAAGTTGGAGTTTATGTTTGCTCACTTGTCTTACCTACCAAATACCAAAATAGAGTAGATTAAATTAAGGTGGCCTTTTATAACCTTGTAGTAACTCGTCGCTTTAGTATTGCATTGCCATTTGGTACGATTTCTGGTAGTTCCTAAATGATTCTTCGTGACTCAATTTTGTTATGAATGCCTCAAAACTTCTTAGTTATTTTAAATAAATAGTAACAAATGACTTTAAAGATTTGCTTGTTTTAGAACTATTTCCAAATCATTGTTACTATCATATTGCAATGCATTTACCCAAAAACCCAAATTTATTCACTAGGCTGGTAGAGACTAAAAAGGGATATATGTTCCAATTTTCACATAAGGATCTTGAATTTTTTTATTTATTATATATATATATATATATATATATATATATAATGAGGAATGTTAGCCACAGTGTATTTCACCCCTTTATCATATAGTTAAAGCAATCCAATCATTTTGTGCAATAAATGCTTATACTTTTTCATTTAGAATAATTCTCTTTATAGTTTTTATAAATTTTTATTAGCACCATCAACGAACAGATAAAGAGTTCTATTCTACGCCATCATTTTTGTCTTAATTTCATATGAATATCAATCACATGAATTCTTTTTCTAATTTTTCCTATTGCATGCCATTTCCCAGTAGTTTAAAACTTAAAAAGAGTTTCATGGGCTATATGGTAAACTATGCAACCATAAAATTCCTTTTTAATTTAAAAAGGAAACTATGTTCTTTTAATTCAACTAGGAGCCAAGATTCATAAAGTATTTTTATGTACTATTTAATTATAAATTTATGAAAAAAATGTATATAGGAAATGGTTATAGTAAGTATATAGATTAATATAAATATTTTTATTTATAAATCTAAAATATGTAATAGAAAGAGTGTTATTTTTGTTTTATGTTAACTTAAATTTTCTAATTATTATGATAATTTTAAATTTTATGATCTCATCTACAATGAACTTAATTTCAGTATACTGATATTTAGCAGTATCAATTTCAAAGTTTGAAAAACAAATTAATTATTAATTTTCTTTTAATTTCATTGTTTTTATTTTCATTTTTTTTTATGTCCAAGCATTATTTTAGGATACTTGACTTCTTGTTGGTGGTGTTATTACTTATTAGTCATTTTTTTTTGATAACCTACTTATTAGTCATTTGATAAAAGTAAAAAAGGGCATTTTTTTAATGGATATTTATGAGCATTTAATTGCTTGCTTCTTGTACAAATGAGTAAATGTGTTGGCACCAAATTAAGAGCGGGCTGTCACAGACGTTGTTACACATTGTTCATATTTTATTTCTGACAAATTATATTCCTAACGTTCTCTTTTAAAAATATACATTTTTTATTTTTGACTTTGAAATAAGTGGAGATGCCACCATACCAGTAAAATAACGAGCCAAACTAAAAAAAGCAGCAGCTTAGTAGTGGGATTGAGTTCCGCCAGGAGTATGGATGTGTGAATGTGTTATCACAAATTTTAAAAAATTGGTGCCAAACTCATATTTTGCGCGAGTTTTATTCTCAAGCTTTGTACACTCATTATGATATTTGCTTTTGTGTGATTTAAAATTTTCGGCCCTAACCCCTACTCCTCCTTCTCAGGTCTTGCAAAGGAAAAACATGAAAAAACTCCCACTCCCACTCCCACTCGGTCTTGCCGAGGAAAAAAACAAACAAACCAAACCGATTTGGTGTTTCATTTGATAATTCATAACTATTTTTATTTAAAAATAAAATAATAAAAATAAAAATGGGTTTAGTGAAAAAACATCATGATGTGCCCGTTTAGACAACACCCTTTCTCTTCTGCGCTAGTTCAAGAATAAATATATATAAAAATTACACACTCCTATGTATAGACACAAACCGGAATTCTACATATTGGCCCGGTTTTGCTTCCACAGAGAATCCTACTCTGCAACTTTCGCTCTCTCGCCGTCCCTCCCGCCGTCCCTCCCTCCCTCCCTCACTCCCTCAAGACGTTTATTCTATGTGTAAAACCAGAAACGTTTATGGTCCTAGGGTTTATAGTATCTCTTACCCTTCTTCTCGTGTCGTAGCTGATCAAACCCTCGTAATCTATTCAATCTCTCTCTGTGTCTGAAGCTCCATTCTCTGCGATTCGTCACTTGTCCTGGTATGATTCGCCGTTTTCTCGAGCACTGGTTCTAGGGATTTGTGAAGTGTACTAATGCAATTCATCAATTCTTTTTAAATACATCTCATTCTCATATCTGGCCTCTTCTCTGCATTTGTTTTGTTGTTCCTTTACAATTGAACTTTGTCTTACATAATTTTTAGGGTCTAAAGATCGATGCTTTGATCAGTAGGGATTCAGTACGATTAAATTAGGGGACTTTCGGTGCTTTTTCTTTTTTATTTTTGGTTGGGGTGTGGGTGGTTAGAGGCATTGTTCAGGTGGGATGAATAGCGTCTTCAGTGAACAGATACTTGCAGACAAGCTTTCCAAGCTCAACAGCACTCAACAGTGTATTGAAAGTATCCTTATTCTTCTTTTTCTCTCTTTTTATTTTTATTTTTATTTTTACCATATAACTTTGATTGATTTATTTTGTTAATGTGCATGCTTGGATTTGTTTGTCTGATGAATTGGAGTAATTACATAAATTTCATTTCTTGTGGCATTTTGGTTTCTTTAGTTTCTGCCTTGTTATTTTTTCCCCTGCTTCAATGGCTTGGTAAATTTATATTTAAAGTTATTGATACTCTCTGCCCAAATTTGACCACAACTCTTATGGCAACTTGTAGTTGCTTTTGTAGTAGTTGATTTAACACAAATGAGAAATGATGGTCATTTTGTTGAACGTTGTCCTAAGAAGTACGGATACTGGTGATGCACTTGTATCGTGTCACTATTGAATACCAATACTCCTTGGATACTAGCGGAGACGTGTCCGATACTTCCTAAATGTATTCATGATTTTAAAATATATATATATATATATATATATATATATATATATATATATATATATATTTTGTTTTAAGACATATCTGATACCCAGATACTTCAACCACGTATCCGATACTTCTCAGATACTTTAGAATACATATTAAACAAGTTTTGGACAATAAAATGTAATTTTTCCTACCATATAATCATAGCATAATTGTTAAGAAAAGTTCAAAATTTATTTAAAAAAGAAGATTTGATATATATATATGATTTAGTACAAAATTTAGAACATATTAAGGTCTCTAACTGGTTTACACTACCTCGTTGGTGGTTATCTGAATTTTAACCCAACATGCAAATGCTTAAAACATAAATTTACAAGGGTTTTTTTTATTTCGTTTTTGTGGATGTTAAGTCGGGGAGGTAACAGGAAAAGTACTGTTTCTACCTGCCTTCATGTTTGTCAAAATGTGATTATGGCCTCTTTTTAATTAACTTCCATTCGCATTTTGCAACTGTTTTAGTTATCAATCTATCTCATTGAATTATATTTACATTTAACAAAAAAGACAGAAAAGAAAATCTGTTTGGGATTATAATATTTAATTATTCTTCATCCCTTTTTGGGGCTTGCTAGAATAGAATTTGAATTCTTCTAAGGAATGGCAGACATAATCGGAAAGAAATTTGGTACAATAAGTGGGTTCATTTAATTTACAAGGTTGGACAGTGATAATCATATTTCAAATGCAAGATAAGTTTTGCTTTATTGTAACAATGGAAAGCAATATAAAATAATATATTATTCGATGTACATTTCGTACAAGTTTCATTAAGTTTGCCCACTGGAAGTTCTTGATGGTTAAGAGATCGGCCATTCTTACGTGTTTCTGGTAGTTCCATTCTAATACTTTGCCCTATACAGGCTATATGAGGTAAGAGTAAGAAAATTGTGTATCTCAATGTTATATTTTATTTTTCAAAAGAAATCCAAGTTGCATGGATATTTTGTATTTTTTATTTATTTAATATTACTATTATTTTTTGGAAAGAGGGGGTGGGGGGGTGGGAGCTGTGGGTGGGGGTGGGTAAGGAGTTGAATTTATGTTGTATATGGCATTAGACATTGACACTTTTTGGACACTCCTGAACACGTCTTTAACATGCTTTGGACATGCCAATAATTTGAAAATAATTTCTTCTTCATAACTGTGACTTGACCTACAAGGAGAGTAGCACACTCTTGCACACATCTCTGGCATACCTTAGATGCTGTGGCATGTAGACATATAGAGAGAAAAACACAGTTATTAGCATATATAGTAAAATTTATAAACCTGAAACACCTTTAAGAATAGCACAAGGAGCAATAATGCAAGTTCCAATTGAAGGGTGACGGGGATAAGGAAGAAGAGGAGAAATTGAGGAATTACATTAATGTGTGTATATGCATATTTTATGTCTGAAATACATCAATTCTTGTCGTATATAGACATTCCATTAGTTACATTACCCTATTAGGAAGTGATATCTAGGATCCTTGCGTTACACGCTTTTATGTATTTTGATGATATGCAACCAGTTGACTTAAAAGGATCTACAATATCTAATTGCTAGTCATTTTTTTGGATTAAATTTATCCTGTTTTGGGAAACCTTTTAGTCAACCATTAACGTTTTATTGTGTTTAAAGTATAGATGATTTGAAAATTAGACACAATATTGCATGAGTAGGAATCATTAGAAACGTGACCTGCTTTAAAAATTGAACAGGTGAGACTAATACGGGTTTCAGTCGAAAAATGGAAGGAATAGGAAGGAAGAGGACAAAGCAGTGAGCTGTCACACTTATTTCAGTGTGTATATGCAAATTTTATGTCGCATCACATCAATTCTCTTTCAATGTCTAAGTTCTACTGTCTATATAAAAAAGTATTTACCAAAAATAAGAAGTTCTATTTTTAAACCCTTAGCTACAATTCAATCTTTGTAAACTTTTACTTGCCAAACAAATAAAAAAATAATCCTTGTAATCTTAAACCTTTGTCTCTCCTTTTTCAGCTCATCTGCGATCACGTTTCTCTGAGATGCTTCAGATATTTGTTTTGCGATTGGTGAAGCCATCAACTCATTGAAATTTTATTAGCTAATAGGGATTATGCTAAGGCCTCCAGGACATGTTCATTTTCAAAGTTAGTTATTGTTAAATTTTTGTTCATTGTGTCGTTGTTGTTAAAGAAGATTTCATTTATTCTTACTGGGTTGCAATGTTGCATGCGACTTAAGTAGCACATCATAGCAGAAGATACTGTATTTTTGGCAGTGATTGTTCTTATTTGACTGCAAACTAACATTTGCTTCTATATATGGAGAGAGAGGAGAGAGACATGTAGGAATTCTGTGACCTTCCCTGGTTCAATTTGATTATGAAATTTGCGAAATACAATGTTAATTGTTGAAGTTAATTTTGAGTATTTGGTAAAATTGATTGAATCCAACTTTTGTTGACATTGTTATAATGTTATTCTACGTTTAACCTAGATGTACTCAACCTTGATTCATTTTCACTTTGAATTTGTTGTGCTTTATATTGTGATCCATTTAAGGAGGGATTAACAAATTAGCTTCTTGCAGTATGATTTATGACAGTTTTTGTTGTCTTGACTTTCGTGTGTAGCTTTGTCTCATTGGTGCATTTTTCATCGGAGCAAAGCGGAACTGGTTGTTGCAACATGGGATAAACAGTTCCATAGTTCGCAGATGCTTCAAAAAGTTCCCCTTCTGTATCTTGCAAATGACATCCTTCAGAATAGCAAGCGCAAAGGAAACGAATTCGTTTCTGAATTTTGGAAGGTTCTTCCTGCAGCACTTAAAGATGTTGTTGAGAAAGGCGATGAACATGGAAAGAATGCGGTCTCCAGATTGGTATCCCCTTCTATGTTTTTTCTTGGGACATCAGACAATAGTTGGCTTATCAAAAAATGCAAACCAAATTGGTTATCTGTTTAACTAATGCTTAAATAATTGATAGGTTGATATATGGGAAGAGAGGAGAGTATTTGGGTCCCGTGCACGGAGCCTTAAAGATGTAATGCTTGCAGAAGATTTGCCTCCACCCTTGGAGTTCAGCAAAAAACGTTCTCGTTCTGTCAAAATAACAAAAAGGGATTCACGCTCCATAAGGACGGTCAGGACCAGAGACTCATGCAATTCGTCTTCCTCCTCCTCCTCCTCCTTCTTTTTCTTTATTTTTTTAATCTATAATTTTGTATAAATTGGGCATTTAATTACTTTCTCTTAGTAAATTGAAATTGTATTGCTTCCATGTAAACTGTTGCTTCGGACTCTAGAAATTGACAATTGGAGGGGCAGCAGAGAAGATAGTCTCTGCATTTCACTTTGTGCTCGGTGAACAACTTAGTGAAGATGAACAGATGAGTAAATGCATGTCAGCTGTTCACCACATTAGGAAGATGGAGAAAGATGTTGATCTGGCCTGTAGCAAAGGTAGGCTGACAATGATTTTGCAGTTAATGTCTGCCATGGCATTTATTGAAAGGGTTCTCTGAAGTATTTAATTTGGCATCCTTGACTTCGTGTCCTCTAAATATATATATGTATTTTTTTCCTTCTAAAGGTGTTTGCATAATTACACAAATTTTTTTATTCCAAAGGTGTTTTAGTAGTCATACATCGATGCTGTCCCCAATTGGGCATCTAAGTGTAGTTTGTTTTTTACACAGCAAAGGATCCAAAGCGAAAAACTCTGTCCAAAGAAATAGAGGAGGAAGAAAATCTTATGAAACAGTGTATTGAGAAACTTAAAGTAGTTGAAGCAAATAGAGTGGCCCTTGTATCTCAGTTACGAGAAGCCCTACATGAACAGGTACTTGGTCATTTTCTGTATTTTGGGAAGTGTTACTTGTTCATTTTTTTCTAATTACAATTTGTTATAGCATTTATGAGCAAAAAGTAAGGCCTATTCAATATTGTATGCAATTTGAAAATGGTATGCATATGAAACTGCATGGGCTTACATTTTGAAAATTTTCAGGAGTCCGAGCTGGAGAATGTTCGCACACAGATGCAGGTATTTGTTCTGATAACTCTGCCCTGAATAATAGTTTCTTTTCTCCCCAAGGTCATTTGTTTCTATTTTTCTTTTGGTTTGATAAATGTGGTGCCTGTGCTCAGTGTGTATACTGTATAAATCACACTCCTGTTATGTGCCAAAAACAGCATAAAAGAAATTGTAATTTTGTTTGTTCACTGTGTGTACTTATATGTTATGGGATGTATGCCTTTTGAGTTCTTGATAATACTTACTAAGCTGGTAAAAAGTCAAAACTATTGCTGAGACTGGAAATATTTTATTTAAGCTTTTTGAAGCTTTTTGGTTTATGTATAGTCACACCAGAAGTGGACTTGTTTCCTGAACATTGCGAAAATGTAAGTAAGTTAAAAATGAAGTGCTGATAATGGAATAATTACCTTTAAATATGGAATTACGTTGGGATGTGCTTTTGACTTGTTATGCATTTAACATCCTGTTCTAATAGTGTTGGGTGGTTTCAATTGAGATATGTTGACCCAGCACCATATTCAATTTGAGGAATATATCATCATAAACATTGTGTACAGAGATCATTGCCAGATTGTTGTCAAACCTGTCTTGGCAAAATGAAAAATAGTACAGCTGGTGGAGAAGGCTGGCTAAATAGGCAATGGATGCTTTGAAAAGGTTTGCCAGCAAGAGTTGTTACTTTAGTGGTTGGGCTCTGGGGCTGCTTTGCTTCATTATGGAGTGGTCCAATAGCAGCCTAATTTTTCGCGTCAGCTTGGGCTCTAGGGCTGCTCCTCTCCTCTACTAGAGAGGTCCAGTATCAACCTGATTTCAGACATCAGGGGTTACCCCGCCATCGTGGGGCAGATGCTGATGTGGTTCAAATTAAGCAGGTATCGATCTGGTACTGCAGTGGAGCTGAATCCTAAATTTAGGGCGTTAGAAAGTGACTGGAGAATTTGTTTAACTATTGTTCTGAACCAAAATATAAATGTCCTTTACTCCTTTGTGACTTCAGTTCTTTTTAAAGGTTGTGACCATTTTGGAGTTGAGGGTGGCCATGGACCTACTGTGTTTTCGTGTTGCTCAGGTCCAACCTTATCAATTCTGACATTCGGAAAAAGGAAATTTGAATCTCTTATGTAACCACGATATTTATCACTTGTGGGTAGAAATAAATTACTCTAGATTTGCTAGATGCAAATAATAAGTTCCTAGTATTTCTCATTGAGGCTTCAGCTGTTGACATGGTTATCTAGAGAAAATGTGTTAATACTATTAGGACACTATCAAATAAGCCAACCTGATGCTGATGTATCACTTTTAATTCTTTTTCAGGTAGCACAGGCGCAGGCAGAGGAAGCCAACAACATGCGGAAGCAGCTTGATGATGAAAATTATGTTGGGGTTTTAAAACCATTAACTACAACCCCACCATTAACAGATGCAAGCGCAAAAGCAGAACAAGCACCAAAGAAGACAGCTGCTGCCATTGCTGCCGAGGTTGCTGATAGGCTTGCAGCTTCTAGTTCCTCTCAATATATCATGTCTTCTGTTCTCTCTACATTTGCAGCCGAGGAGGCAAAAAGTGCAGGGTTGACGAAGGCCTCCACAGTGTCCAATTCTTTCACATCAATGCCCATCAATTTGGTTACCAATTCAATGCGGAAAGCAGAACAACCCAATTCCATTTCAGATCCCAGTGCTTTTATGTCAGGACAGGTACTTGCTGCTCCACCAAGCAATCCGTATCAATCAGTTTTGGTGCCGCAACCAACCATGCAGACTCAGACCCCCACCTCTCAAGCCCAATACCATATACTTCCTAACCCCCAGTCTCAGCAGTATTTGCAACCGTCAGGGGCAATAATGAGTTCATATGGTTATGGTAGCATTACACCCTTGCCTCCAGGACCACCCCCGCCCCAACTCCAACCCCAAATGTTGAGTCCTCTAGTGCCTTTGAACCAGCAATCGTTGCAGGTAACTCAGCCGCTAAATTTAGTTCATCAACCATCAGCATTAACGCAGCAGCAACCAATACTGTTACCTCATCAACCACCAGCACCTCCTAGTTTTCGACCTGTTGGCCCTGTTCAACCACCTGGTATGGTGTACTATTCTCATCCTCATCATACTCAGTGACAATTATATAGACATTCCAATCAGTGCGACAGTGTTGTTTGCAGAAGCATTTTCTGGACAATTTTGAAAATTTGTCTGTGCAAATTGGGGTTGCTTTTGATGATAGATATAAAGAGAGGTCCGACAATAATTATAAAGTTATATGCATTTAGATAGCAATAGATACTGCAGATGAAGAGTAGTGGCCTTTCCCATTACCAGGCTGTGTTAGAATTAGGGTTGGGCAATCTTAGTGTCCCATCTTTTGTTCATTTTTATGGTCTTCATTCTTCTTCTTCTTTCTTTTTTTTCTTTTTTTTTTTTTATACTTGTAAAATGATGATTTAGAGGCAGAACAATTTTGTATTGCAAATCAAACTAGATAAAGGCATTTCCTTTTTATTTGAAGACTTTGTTGTGTCTATGTGGAATCATCTCTATTTCTATGGTGTGCTGTCTCTATTTTGGAGAAATATTTTTATTTTTTCACCTTCAGTACATATTTGTCATTAAGATGGGCAATTAGGGAAGGGTTGATAAGCTATTAAGCATTTACATCTATTTTGGTGTTTTTTTATTTTATTTTATTTTTTGTTTTCATTATTGGCCGGTTTTAAGGTTTTAAGTGCATTGGGCTTCTTAGTCTGTATCTTTTTTTAGTTGGGCTTAAATACCAATCTTAGGGCTGCAGGTCTATGTTGGCTCTCTTCCTTACTACGTGCATATTATACCAACATCTATACCATTGTTAATTTCAGAATAATAATAAAACAAAATAAAATAAAATAAAATAAATCCTCAATTCTCTCATCATTGAATAAGATGCAGACTGGGCATTACCTTGCCCGAGTTGGTGGAGCGCTACCCATGTTTGAGTCATTTCTTTCCCAAATTTGTCGGGATAAAAATAAAATAAAATAAGGAGGAGGATACATAGGACTCCGTATATAATTATGAATAAATACTTATCAGTCATTTGGATAAATAAGAAACTTAAAATTAATTATTGATAAATATATAATTAAAACTAATCAGAACATATTTGACTTTTTTGATGTTGAGCTTAGTTCTTCTATTATCTTATTTTTTGTTCACAATGCATTTTTTTTTTTTTTTTTTCGAAAAGTTCACAATGCACTTTCAAAGCTCCTTTACACGAGTTTTATCTTTTAGATTTTTTATTCTTTATTTTAAATTATATTACTTACCCCCAAAAAAATAGATATAAGAGTTTAGTGTTGTGTTTGAAATTTTATTTCTAAAATTTTAAGTGAATTGATTTTATGTGTAAAACAAAATAAAGGAGGAGGTTAATAATGTAAATTTGGTAATTGAGACAAACTGTCTTAATTTACTAAGAGTATCTGTAACACAATCTTTTAGATTTGGTATGATTTTCCATAAGTACGTTGTAAAGATTTTCCATAAGTACCACGGAGTATTAATTAGTACCCAAGTAAATATCATCCTATTCCCACAGCTCACAGGTATCTCTCTCTCTCTCTCTCTCTCTCTCTATATATATATATATATATATATATATATCTTACTCCAGAATGCCGTCTTAGGATTTCTCTACAACTTGAAATCTAATAGAGAGAGATTTCCACGGGAGGGAGGGGCGGTGTAAAGGCTTTCTTGGAGAGAGAGGGAGAGGGAGAGGGAGAGGGAGAGGGGGGCTTTTTTGAAATCTGATAGAGATATCTTCTATTAATTGAAAAGGTAAAAGGTAAAATGAATATTATATTAATTGAGGAGTATTTTCACACATGTTGAAAAGAATAGGAGTGTTTTTTGTAAATGTATATTTCAGGTTTCTTGCACTTACCCTATATAATATATATATATATATATCTCCCTCCATACCCAGTAAGCACACACGAGAGACTGCTTTTTGTTACTCACACTACAAGGCATCTTAATTAGGGTTCTCACTAAATTGGACAGAGGGGCGGCATTCTTGAAATCTGATAAAGAGATTTCCAGATAGCGAGAGAGAGACTAGAGCGCATAGTTCTTCCTCACCCACCCATTACGCGGCGGTGTCGTTGTTGGTGTTGATTGACGTGTAGAGACAGATAGATCAGAGCAACGCGACGGTTTCGTTGTTGGTGTTGATTTCATATATATACATGCACATATATTTGTTTAGCCTTTAAAGACTAAATAGTAGTATTCACTCTAACACAGTCATGGTATAATTTTCAGATTGCCTTCTTGTTACTCACACTACAACCACTGTAATTAGGGTTTCTCTACAAAGGAAGGGGCGGTGTAAAGGCATTCTTGAAATCTGATAGAGAGAGAGATTTCCAGACAGAGAGAGAGGCAGTGTAACATTGCAACCCAGATTTCAAGGGGCGGTGCAACATTGCAACCCAATTTTCAGATGGCTCCGAAACTAAAGAAAACTTATAAAGAAGGAATTTATAAGAAACCAAACGGCTTGATATATTAGTTTTTAGAAGAAAAAAAATTGTTTGGAAAAGAATGCCTTTGACTTATCCACTCTTTGTGGTGTTGATGTTTGTATAGTTGTTTACGGTCCCAAATTGAAGGACCACCGTCCGATTGACGATCAGTATCCCTACATGTGGCCTAAAAATTTTGATGCAATCCGACGCATGTTCACATCATACGAGCAACAATCTCATGAAAATCGTAGCAAGTGAATACCTGATTTGTCTCATTTCTTGGAAGAAGACAATCCCAACAACAAAGAGGAGGAGGCGGCGGCTGATGATCATGAAATTGATCCTCAAGGTAGTAGTGCTTCTTCAGTACTTGTACAAATGGAGGACAAGAAAAATAATGACGATGATGATGAAAAAACCACCAAGAATATCAAGTACCCTACTTGGGACCATCGGTTTAACAATATGTCTGAGGAACAATTGATAAACATTCATACCAAATTGGAGGAAATGTTTGAAGCCGTCAAAACTAGGGTTCAATTCTTGAAGTCTAATCACCAAAACCTAGAAAACTATTGGGTTAATTACAACGACACCCCCTGAGGTTTGCCATATTGACAACAATATACAACTTAGTCGTTTTTTAAACAAAGACATCCCTCAAGTTTGCAAACTTGAACAATGATACCCCAAACATGATGAAAGTACATGTTTACCCTTTGACCATATAAAATGACCAAATTATCCTCGATCAAAAAATCCCTTCTTCCAAATTTTTTATCTTCCCGTTCCTGTGAGCCCTTCTTCCCCACCGTCCATCAAAGCCGCCACAGGCCACAGCCGAGGTCATCACCGTCCCGCTGTCACCCTCATCCGAGCCATCCACAACCGCAATCTATTACCCTCCTTGAGTCACATATGGTCTATTTGATGATTAGAAACAAAGCTTCAATATTTCAGTTAGTGTAATGTAGATTATTGAGTCAATTTGAAGATAGATGGAGCTAGAGTTTGGGTGAAAAAAAATTTGCAGAAAAGATAACAGGGGTGGTGCGGAGTGTATGGAGATGATGGTGGATGGGTAGATTGATCATTTGGTAGTTAAAGAATCTTCAGCCATGCCAAGGTGGGGATATCTAACTCTTTGTTTTTTCTTCTTTTTCTCCTCTTTGAATGTCCAAACATTAGAAACAATATCAAACTGAATATGAAAATAAACTTTTGCAATTTGAAACTTATAGAACACCTGGATTAATAAAAGGATGATACAGAGCTTGAATTTTTGCTACAAAATATTATAATAGTATAATATTTGATTGAAATGGTCAAAGCGATATGAAATCTACTCCGACGCGCTTTCTCTTAGAATCCTGTCAAAATCCCACCTTTCCCGACGACAGGCTCAAGAACCACAACATCATTGATTCGGTCCTGGTGAAGTCGAATGGGAAGCTCAAGACCCAAAACGACGTCGATTCGGTCTCGGCGAAGTTAGATTGTTATATTAAGGACGCAGACGTTTTGATTAAGAGTGGGGTCCTCCACGATAAGGTCATTTTGAGGTCGTTTTCGACGACGAGGGAGCTTGCACGAGTCAAGGATCGGAATTTGATAACTCGGTTGCATATTGAGTCGAACTGTCGAAGAACTCAGTGATGGTGCTTCACGGTATCGTTCCGATGCTCATTGATAGAACTCCATCTTTTCCGGCGTATTCCATTCTTGCCGTTGTTTGCTTGGAGCATAGAGAGGTTAGAGAGAGAGAGAGTACAGGGTTTGAGAAAGCTTGCTGCCATCATCCGCAAGCTCACAGCCGAAGCCGCAACCAGCCTATCACTGTCACAACCAGCCCATCTCCACGCCGGGGTTCACAAGCCCATCGCCCATGGGCCAGCTGTCTGCCGTCCCTATCTCCCCACCATTCGAGCCGGCTGCCATCAAAACCAAGCTCGCAGCCACCTCCATCAAAACTGATCTTCTTCTTCACGGCTGACTCCTCCACGGTCGTCGCTTTCTCCACAGCTGCAAGCCGCCTTCGCCATCATCCACGGCCGAGTGCACCGCCGCTGCCATCTCGTCGTGAACCAGACCATCACGGCTGAGTCCTCCCCACAGCCTATCGCCGGCACCACCTTGCCCGAACCAGCCCGTCCTCACCGACAGCTATGGAGCACATTTTTTTGTCAAATATTTTATTCATATAAGGCTGTGTTTGGTCGAGAGGGAAGGAAAGAGAAACGACAGAAAGAGAGAGAGATGAGATGAGAGGGTAGTTTGGTCATTTTAGGTGAGAATTAAAATATATCTTAGGGCATATTAGACATTTCATATCACTTAAGGCTGTGTTTGGCTCCCTTTTTTTAAAATGGGGTGTCATTGTTCAAGTTTGCAAACTTAGGGGATGTCTTTGTTCAAAAAGTGGCTAAGTTGTATATGGCTGTCAATATAGCAAACTTCAGGGGGTGTCGTTGTAATTAATCCAAAACTATTCTGGTTATCAAAACTAGGGTTCAATTCTTGAAGTCTAATCACCAAAACCTAGAAAACTATTCTGGTTATTTCATGCCGTCATCAGACCCTATTATTGACAACCCAATTTCTTTCTTCAGTGATCTCGACGTACCCGTTCCGTTAGATCTCTCACTTGGTGGTGGTGCTTCTTCTTCTTCTTCTGGTAGCAATGTCACATACACTACTCCAACTTTTTATGATCCAATTTTGATGACGATGAATGATGAAGAATGGAATGGATTTGATGCCACATACAATACTGCTACTGATCCTGAATATGATGATCCAATGTTTGATTTGTTGGAGAATGTGATTATGGCCGATCCTATGCCTCCAATGCGCTACTATGGTGGTCTGACAACCATGCAATTGACGTCATCAGACAGGGAATACTCCTCCAGTGTTCCATTTATGTAAATTTAGTCACTTTCTGTGTGTTGGTACATGGTATACTTTGGGTAAGCTAGATGTTGTTATCTAGTATGGTCATATGTGTACGTTAATTAGCTAAAGTCATTCTTTAATTGTTGATACATTAATAATGTGACAATTGTAGCTTTATGGATTATGAATTAATTTTAAAATTTTCCTGATACTTGGTGGCACTTCTACATGAATTCTTTGTTCAGTACAGTCATGATAAATGGAATCAAGTTACATATATGGATGAGAAGACGTCATAAATAAATTGTAAAACTCTAACAATTCATTGCCTTCCCGATAATGGAATCTCTGATAAATAGTGGAAGATGGTACATGATCGCCATTATGGTGGAGTAGCGGGCCAACGTGAACCAAGCCGGTGGATTCTTCTTCAGCACTGCAGCTACAGTCTTCTTCGCGAACTCTTCTGAAGGGGTAGCATTTGAGACTTGTGAGACGTCGGCAGTATCTCGGATTGCTGCTGCAAATTTCTTGTATAACTTCCATTCAGGCATTCGATTATAGTTGGCTATAGCAGAATTTGCTATGTTTGACTTAATAACTCCAGGTACAACATTAATAACATTGATCCCAAAAGGTCTGAGCTCCAATCTGCATTCAGTGATGGATATATGGAATGACAATCTTGTTGGGATTTATATGCCCTGGCATAGCAAATTCCTATCTGGATTGTATTGACATATGTTCCTGACATATCTGAAATATTTATGATTTATATAATTGGTGAATTCAATGTATTATGTTTCGATTCACTATGAAATTGATAGTGTCCAGTTAATTACAAGAAATATTTATATATATGTATGTGATGACAATCAGTGCATGATATATAAATAGTAATTATAAATTGTTCATAGTCGGTAATTATGGATGGACTCATAATTAATTAAGACTTGAACTGGATCCGCTTTAGGTTGAGATATATTGCGAGAGCCGTCGTATGCAATTACTCCCTATCACTGTCATGGCATTTGACTCTTAAGCATGAGAAAAGTATAGACTCTTTTATTAATTAATAATTACTTTGAATTGTTCGGCGGATTCTTCGGGATCCTTAGACCGACACTTTGGGTAGTTATGTAATTAATAGTTAGAGGGTTATATTTTCAATATTTGCATCATTGCTACTTGTATTTATTTTGTATTGATTATGGTTGATCACAAAGTAAATTCGAAGGCCTTCGTGTGTTTTTAGACAAAATGATTTATTATATATTTATTTATTTAAATTATTATTTTTGTCAAACAAATGTTTTATTGTGATCGAACCAGAAATAATCAAAGGTACCAAAATAAATATATTAATTAAGTAGTCGGATTGATGGCTATATTTATCCGATAACTAATTATGCATAGAGGGGTCAAAGTGCAATATTGACTTAGAGGTTATTTATTATTTAATTGGAGTTCAATTAATTTCTTTTAGTGGAGTAGAAATTAATTTATGAATTAATTGAATTGGGTCCATGGACCGGGCCAATTATTAATTCATTGTAGCCAATAAAATAATAGGCCCAATGGATTCTCACTCATAGCCCAACTTGATATTGGAATCATATTAGATTTGAGACATATGAATTAGAGATGGAGAAGGATTTGTTGTTTCCTTTTCTTTATTTTTATGTTGCCTATAAATATACATGGTCTATGTATATTTTAGGGAGTGATTTTTATGAGAAGGAAAAAGGAATAAATTTTCTCTCTCTAGAAAATTAGGGTTTATGTTCTCATCTAATGGAGGCTCCCACAAGCCTAGTTTTCCAAGGTCATTCAAGGAGGCTTATGAGTGATTCCTAAAGGCAAGACCATTACCAAGAAGATGGAGATCCATGGAAAAGATGTCTAGCAAAAGGGATCTACAATAAATGAGAACATTCACTTTAGAGGAGAGATCTGAGGTTTACTCAAACCTTGATGTAAGTATTCAATCTTTTAGTTGAATAATACATCATATTTTATTTTTATTTTTGCATAAAACTTGTCTCTATGTGATGAATCAAGATCTATGAATCAAAATCCCTCGAAAAGTTTTTAAAACTTGCACGTTTCCCAACAGTGGTATCAGAGCATGGTTTGATTCATTACTAGAGATCATGATTTTATGAAAATTATCATTCATGGATCCAAAATTATATTCATATATATTTTTATTGATGTATGTTGATGTATGATTTAATATGTTGATATATATTGATACATAATGATGTATGAATAATTGTGAATGAATGATGATGTATGGTTGGGCCATGGATGAAGCTTATAGGTTAAATTAATGTAATTTTATCTTTGGATGAATGTAATTAAGGCTTTGATTTAGCCGTTTGAAAGTTCAATGATGTAATTTAATTTTTTCCATTGTATTTCAAATTGTAAATATTTTTAAAGCCATGTAATCTCCGTCAAAGGATGCTATGAAGCTTCAAGAAGGTCCAAAAGGATTAAATTATGCTTCAGTAATTTTCTGGAATTTTTCCGAATTTTTTGAAATTTTTCTGGAATTTTTTGAGGCTTAATTTAATTTTCTGGCATTTTTTCGGATTTTTTGGAATTTTTCGGCGTTTTTCCGGTGGCCGGAGCTTCGCCGGCGGCGAGAAGGGGCGTCGGAGGTGGCCCGGATCAGGTGTGGCGTCAAGGAGGTGAGCCTGGCGCGTGTTCCACACGCGCCAGGAGAGTGCACATGCTGGCGCGTGCATTGCACGCGCCAGCCAAGGGAGCTTGATCTCCACGCGCGTGAAGGCGCGTGGAGGCGCGTCCTACGCGCCCCAGGCGCGTGGGAGCGCGTGAGTGTGCATTCCACGCGCCCCAGGCGCGTGCCGGCGCGTGGGAGCACGTGCAGCTTGCCCTAGGCGCGTGCCAGCACGTGTGAGGTCCTCCGGGCTCGTTTTAAGCGGCGTTTTGCTTCTCCTGACGCGTACAAGCTTCCTATGGGTGTTTACAGACAGTTGAAGGATGCCCGTACAGCAAGAATAGGTTTTAAATGCTAAAAGCTGAATCCATTGGCCATTTAATTTGCTTTATCTGTCATTTATTGTTGTATGTGATGCATGAAATAATTAATTGCTAATTATTATTGTTCATGCATTGGATCCATGATATTTATTTAAATGGCTTGATTTATATTAGTTAAATTATGAAAATTAATTGGATTTGATTACTAATTAATTAGAGGGCACTTATTGGGAAACGAAAAATTATTTTTATAAATTATTTTTGAAGTGTGCCTCAAGTTAAATATTAGTGAATCGTTTAAAGTCCAAATATTTTCTAAATTTAATTGGATTAAAATCAAGACGTTTTGCATACATTATATCATGTAAATGAATAAAATGAAAACCCTGATTATGAATGATTAAAAATTGAGTGGGAGCGGGGATTTTTATACATTGCCCCATGGCCTTCGTTATTAAAACCATTGTACTTAGATCTTCAAAAATAAGGCCTCACGCATGATTTGAAGAGTCTTAATATTACAAGAATGGTTGTCTCATGAAAATAAAAATATTAAATGTTCATTGTAATTAGATCTTTAAAAATAAGGCCCTACGCATGATTTAAAGAGTCTAGATTATAATGACAACATATTTAATGTTTTATTTTTCATTAGAGCATTAATAATGTAATACACTCAATCTAAAATCAATAGTGTTAGCTCCCCAACGGAGTGGTCTACACTAGGTGATTTTAGAAAGGCTAAACATAATCGGGAGTCATTTCATATAGATAGACAAGGCATTGTCTTAAGATATATGGAGATGATGGGATTTGCCCGCCAATAGCAATAATGAACTTCGCCAACCGAATAAGTTATTGGTGTATTGGTTATTCGATTTTTCATGCAGTGGTTAAGGGACCCACATACTATTTTAATGGAAGTGCTCACCTAATAGTAAATGAATCTCAACAATAGTAATAATGAACTCCTCCAACAGAATAAGTTATTGACATATTGATTGGTTGATTTATTATGCTACAGAGTTGAGGGACCCGCATTAATTAAAAGGGATTGTTCACCAATAATGATAATGATCTCTTGTTCGATTGAGATTTATTATATTATGTGGTTAACAAACTCATTTTAATTTTAAATATGCATGACAGAATTAATAATTCACCTTGCATATTGTATGAATGCATTTATATTCAGATTAATTATGTTTAATCCCGTTTATCTACTTGCTTACATATTCTATGATATTGGACCTTATTTATAATGACTGGAAAATGAACTTAGATATTTTATTCACAACGTAAGGGTACAAAATGTGTTTATTACTCCTATACCTATCTCTTTTACTTTGAGATACCAAATTTGACATTAATGCTTTTAATAAATTAGATAAGGCAAATGATATGACTTGGTGCAATATTCTAGAGTTTAGCTCGAATATACTCCAAAGCTAACATTTGTATTATTTTATTTTCTTCAAGCATCATATTAAATGTCAATGAGATATTTTGGTGAGATTAAATAGAGCATATGCCTAAGTACTGTGTCAAATTTAAATACCATCAAGATAGCCTGATGAACTCCAGTTTGAAATCAAATTTTGGAAAATGATTGTTTATTATTTAAAAATTAGCTGGAGATCAATAAGGCTGACTTGGGTGGTAAGTTTCAAGTTGACATGATTATTGCCTTGTTACCAAACTCATTCGACTCTGTTAGAGTGAACTAAATAAGGAATCAGTTTGAGTTCACACTCGCTGATATTCTTATAGAATTGGTAACAGAAGAAGGGATAATCAAGAGTACGGGCGTTCCTATCAATCTAACCTAGTCTATACCATCTTCTTCTAGGCCCAAGTGGATGGGCAAAGCAAAGAAGAAGGATGATAATAGGACTAGGCTAGCACAAAACATAGGTATCTAAAAGGTTAAAGGGAATAAGGCAGTGTATGTTGAGGGCGAATGAAACTGTTTCTTTTGCCGTTAACTAAGACACTAAAGGACAAACTGTCTAAGCAATGACGTGGCATAAGAAAATATATATTTAATCATTGAGCCATGTTATGTGGTTGTATCTATTGATTCCTGATGGATAGATTCTGGAGCCACTAAACATGTTTGCAATTTATTGTAAGGATTTCAGGAATCCAGAAGCCTTGATGATATGGGTATATATTTATCTTTTGACCTGATGCCAAGGTTGTAATTAAGTCAGTGGGAGTATTACATCTGAAAATAGAGAGTATGAGGATATTAGTATTAGAGAACTATTTTTATGCACAGAAGTTAGACGCTATCTTATTCTTGTTTCACTTGTGGTTTATAAAAACTGTGTTGCTATTTTGTAAAACTGGTTTTATAAAATTGAATAGATATGCGATTACTTCTGGTGCATTGAAAAATGGTTAATATATTATAATCACAAGCTCTTAAGATTTGCAGGATGTAGAAACTAATGTTGCATCTTCTAGATTAAATGTTAAGAGAACATTTGTTATTCCTGACTCATTGTATTTTTGGTGTCTATTTTTGGGTTGTAATCAATCAAAATGAGATTTAAATATTGGTTAAAGAAGGTTTATTACCTAGTGAGGCAGAGGAGCCTAAACCAAACTTGTGAATCTTGTTTTGAAGGATAGATAACTCTAAGGGCTTAATCAGCCAAATGAAATAGACATAAAGAACAATTGGAGTCGGTACACACGTACACATGTAGTCTTATGAACATCCAATCAAGATTACTCACGTTTTGGATAAATTTACCTGTTGCGACACAAGTCTTATACTTTTGGTATATTCCAAGAGGGTCAAGACTGATGTGGAGCTCAGATTAGGTAAACTTATCAAGACACTTCGATCTGATCGAGTATTTGAGTATTTCTTGGGATAGTGCAAAGACTATATGGTCAATGAGGGTGTTGTGTACCAGTTTTCCGCAATTGACGCTAAATTAATTTAGGTGTCAAATAGGAATAACAGAATTCCACTTAACATGGTTAGATCTATGATTAGTAATGCCACATTATCTCTTTCATTTAAGAGTTTAGCGTTAATGGCATCGATGCGCATTATGAACTGCATTCCATCTTAGTCTGTCTCAAGGATACCGTTGAGCTGTGTTTTTGACTAAATATTAGTTTGAATCATATGCACATATGGGGTAGTCTTGCACACGTGCGTTTGATATGGACAAGTAAGTTGGAATCAGATCATAGGCATGCTAGATTTGATAGCTACTCTAAATGTCACTAGGATGGATTATTTTATGATCTCAAAGATAAAAGTTGATTGTTTTCACTCATTGTTTATCTATAGGGGAATCATATTATGAATCACATACCTAGTAGCATAATGTTAGAGAACTTGGTATGAGTACCAGATGTACCACATGTGAACACACTTATTATAGAGATTGAGAATAATATATGAATTCCCTATTGATGCGTTAGCATCATCTACTACACAGATTCTTGCATCGGTACATTGATGTAGTGGGAGGATTATCATCCAATTCGACAGAATCATGTTTTTAGGTGAGACCATTATGGACATCCCTGTTAAACATGAGTTGGACCCAGTAAGCTACACGAAAGCGTGAACCGATGTGGATACAGATCGTTTTGATGAGTTACTATGAAATCAGAGTTGGAATCTATGTATTCTAATAAATTCTGGGATCTTGTAGAACTTTCTAGTAGGGTGATTCCTATAGAAGGCAAGTTAATCTACAAAAAGATACCAGAAGATTTCTTAGTGAATAAATCATGAGTGTACAAGGGAATGTCATTATTTTTCTTAATTCTATATATTGATGACATCCTACTCATTTATAATGACGTGGAAGTTTTGTCATCAATTAAAAGGTAGTTGTTCAATTACTTTTAAATGAAGGAATTTCAAGATGTAAGCTATATTCCTAGGATCAAGCTTTTGCAAGATCAGGTTAAAAGGAAAATAGGCTTATCTTAATAATCCTACATTGATAAAGTTTTGACCAGGTTTGGTATGCATAACTCAAAGAATGAGTTCTTGCTTTATTGATATGGATGGCTCTCTCTAGTAAGTAGTTTTTCAAGACTATCAAAGGAGATTGAGCAAATGAGACTGGAACAATATGTTTCGGCATATGAGAGTCTCATATATGCCATGGTCTATACCAAACAGGACATCCGCTACATAGTAGGGATAGTCAGTAGAGATCAGTCCAATACTGGACTTGACAACTGGTCTATTGTGAAAAATATCATTAAGTACCTAAGGAGAACCAATGATATCATATTCATTTATGGATGTGATGATATGGTCCTAGTCAGGTATGCTAGTTCTGATTTTCAATCAGAAGTAGATACTATGAGGTTCATGACTCAGTGTAAGTTCACTTAATGGAAAGGAGATCAGTTGGTAGATTGTTAAGCAGATTTCAACTGCTGACTCAAACCTAAAAGTGGCAATATAAGCCTATTGGTTTGATCTCACTGATTTAGAGGTTGTGGAGCATACTAGCTTGCCTATCGAGCTATATATTGCGACAATAGTGCAGAAGTAGTCCAAACCAATTACCCAAGGTTCCATAGATGAACAAAATACACTGATAGGAAGTATCATGTTCTATATGATATTGTCCGGCAAGAAAATGTACTTATAACTAGAACATTGCATTGGAACACAACTTTGTTGATCCATTATCAAAGGTGTCATTGATCAATAATTTTGATCATCATCTGGATAACATTGGAGTTAGGTGCAATTTGAATTGGCTATGAGGGCAAGTGGGAGCTGTTGGGATTTATATGCCCTGGCATAGCAAATTCCTATCTGGATTGTATTGACATATATTCCTGACATATCTGAAATATTTATGATTTATATAATTGGTGAATTCAATGTATTATGTTTCGATTCATTATGAAATTGATAGTGTCCAGTTAATTACAAGAAATATTTATATATATGTATGTGATGACAATCAGTGCATGATATATAAATAGTAATTATAAATTGTTCATAGTCGGTAATTATGGATGGACTCATAATTAATTAAGACTTGAACTGGATCCGCGTTAGGTTGAGATATATTGCGAGAGCCGTCGTATGCAATTACTCCCTATCACTGTCATGGCATTTGACTCTTAAGCATGAGAAAAGTATAGACTCTTTTATTAATTAATAATTACTTTGATTTGTTCGGCGGATTCTTCGGGATCCTTAGACCGACACTTTGGGTAGTTATGTAATTAATAGTTAGAGGGATATATTTTCAATATTTGCATCATTGCTACTTGTATTTATTTTGTATTGATTATGGTTGATCACAAAGTAAATTCGAAGGCCTTCGTGTGTTTTTAGACAAAATGATTTATTATATATTTATTTATTTAAATTATTATTTTTGTCAAACAAATGTTTTATTGTGATCGAACCAGAAATAATCAAAGGTACCAAAATAAATATATTAATTAAGTAGTCGGATTGATGGCTATATTTATCCGATAACTAATTATGCATAGAGGGGTCAAAGTGCAATATTGACTTAGAGGTTATTTATTATTTAATTGGAGTTCAATTAATTTCTTTTAGTGGAGTAGAAATTAATTTATGAATTAATTGAATTGGGTCCATGGACCGGGCCAATTATTAATTCATTGTAGCCAATAAAATAATAGGCCCAATGGATTCTCACTCATAGCCCAACTTGATATTGGAATCATATTAGATTTGAGACATATGAATTAGAGATGGAGAAGGATTTGTTGTTTCCTTTTCTTTATTTTTATGTTGCCTATAAATATACATGGTCTATGTATATTTTAGGGAGTGATTTTTATGAGAAGGAAAAAGGAATAAATTTTCTCTCTCTAGAAAATTAGGGTTTATGTTCTCATCTAATGGAGGCTCCCACAAGCCTAGTTTTCCAAGGTCATTCAAGGAGGCTTATGAGTGATTCCTAAAGGCAAGACCATTACCAAGAAGATGGAGATCCATGGAAAAGATGTCTAGCAAAAGGGATCTACAATAAGTGAGAACATTCACTTTAGAGGAGAGATCTGAGGTTTACTCAAACCTTGATGTAAGTATTCAATCTTTTAGTTGAATAATACATCATATTTTATTTTTATTTTTGCATAAAACTTGTCTCTATGTGATGAATCAAGATCTATGAATCAAAATCCCTCGAAAAGTTTTTAAAACTTGCACGTTTCCCAACAAATCTAACATCAAGAAACTTGTTATATGAATTTAAACACCATGTCAAATCCCACAAACATAATGTGGCCTGTCTCAGTGAATAAACAACATTTGGAGGGACATCAGAAAACAGCAATGCTATGTTTGGCGGCACTGATTTGGTGCTCCCAAACGTAACATAAGGGTATAACCTGCTTTACATCCAATTCATTCATATTGTTCATGCTGGTCCTAATTCAAGTTTTAGGCCGACTGTCGAGCACACTTCAAATCAATAATAACATAATTTTTAATATCAAATAAGTAAAATAACAACAGACTCCATCGATATTCTGTTCCCCACTCATTTCGTATTACTATTTGTCGATAAAACTTATAGAAGCCCGCATTTGTTGCATACTTCCAAGGACAAAACTACTCTTGATCATTCAGACTCATCTCTGTCCCCAAATTTATTTGTTAGTTGGTTCCAACTAACATTTGATATACTAACTATAAATTGAATAAACTTTACAGGACTCACAAAATTCAGGAAATGATCATTCACCTCATCGTAATGGAGGAATATACTAATTAACGCTCTGGGTAACTGAATTGAATTAAATGTGCAGAGCATCACAAAGTGTATTCCAAGAAACATAATTATCCAATGAAGTCAAGACAAAGAAGAGCTCAATGGCACCCTAGAAGCCAATAAAGTTTCTTCTATCACCCTTATTCTACTAAGGGACACATTTTTTATTTTTTTTAATCTACAGATAAGAACAGAGGGTACAAAAATATGTGCGCCTATGTTGTCCAAAACCCAAGGTATATGTGAAACAATGTGGCACAACTTTGGATGAAGTATTACAGCTTAACCAACGGGCTAGTGGCCTAGCGGTATCAGCCTCTTACTTCCCAAAGGGAGGTCAGGGGTTCAAGTCTCAGAAGAGACAAGTGCGTGTGAGTACCAACTAGGAAAAAATGTATTACAGCTTATACACCCTGGACCGTGTTACTTATACATTAAATTTTTAATTCCCTTTTTTCTTTCCTCTTTTCTATTGGGGGTGGGAGAGGTTGGGGAAGCTGTGGGAAGGATGGTGGGTATCTGCATCTTAAGCAGATAAAAATTGGATTAACCATATGGAGATGGTTTAGGACCTCAGGTTAGGAGAGGAAGAGTTGTTTGCCTAAAAGGTAAGCGCTAAAGAAGCCGACCAAAACTTACAAGGGTAGAGGTAATTAAAAATAATTTTTAAAAGAAAAAGAAATGGATTACCAATCTAATAATAACATGGGCAATATAGCACAAACCTCAATGTATCAGTTAGGGAGTGCAGAGCAGCTTTAGATGCAGTGTAAGCACCAGCCCATGGTCCAGGGCTCAAAGCGGAAACACTTCCAATGTTGACAATCTTTCCCTTCTTCTTAGATATCATGTAAGGAACCACAGCTTGAATCAACCTCATGGAACCTAAATATGTACAAACAATAGCATTATAAATATGAAATAGATTTGTTATTATGCAATCAGCAACAAATAGAACATTCTCAAAGTGGACAAAGAAATAGGGGAAAATTATGCACGACAATTGGGATAAACACGTCACAGTCGGCCTGAAGTAATTATGGAAGTGTTGTGTATTTGATCAAAACATAACTCCAAATAATAGGATTTGGTTAAAGACAAAAGAATAATCACGCGTTTCTATTATCTTGGATTACAGAATGTGGTAAGGTAAGGCCTGCTTCCAAGTGGCTGCATCGTGTGAACAATGTACGCGACATATATCATCAAATCTCCATTTTTAAAATTACTATACAAGTTAGCATGTTATGAAATTATCATAAAAAGCTTAGTTAAGATGCAATAGATTTACAGGTGGTATTAACATATTGCAATTTACATTAAAAAAAAAAAAAGAAAAAGAAAAAAAAGAGAGAAATCCACAGCAGTATCAATTTGCAAGCTTAGTTATGAACAAAATGTAAGTGCCTCAAAACCATTTATTTTGATTCACTACATACCTGATGCACTGGATCCATCATGTCGGAGGCCATGTATGTTTCTTATCAGAGCATGAGATCTAAATCTTATATCAGTTCTATGCAGAATGAAGAATTTCATGGAATAAGGTTCAAGGTTGATGATTTTTGCTTTATATAGTGCACTTTGAATAGAGTGGTGGTGGACATAGGTTCTCAACCTATAACACCATAAAGACTGATATCAAGGTTTGAATTATTTCAATAGAAAACAAAATCATAGGCCTTTATCTTGATGCGGATGCTATCGTGCTATGATTATGATTCGAGTACTGAAAAACTACGAGATTGAATGAGTTTTTAACAGCCAGCCTCTTTCCACACCAAGTTGTATCAAAGAAGAATTAAGCTGCTTTCATCATATTTGGTAGCAACTATGAGACACAATATCCACAATGTATCATCTTTAACAGCCAGCCTCTTTCCACACCAAGTTGTATCGAAGAAGAATTAAGCTGCTTTCATCATATTTGGTAGCAACTATGTAATACCCCGATAATTTTAAAAGATTTATTAATTAGGATTAATTATTTTATTTTATTTTTCAATGATTTATTTTATTTTATTGAGTGCTAGATTAATTATCTTATTTTAATTAAGTTATATTTCGTGATTATGTATGATGATTGATTGTTTGTGTGGTTGATTATTGATTGAATTATTGGTGTGTTGATTTTATTGGTATTATATGACTTAGTTGTAAATTCTTGTTTGTTTATGTGCTTCATGTAATTAGTTATTTTAATTTCTGTATTTAATTAATTATCTTATTTATTTAAATTAATTGGATTGGGCTTAAGGAAAGTTGGACCAAAAGATATGGTCTTGGGCTTGTATGAAATCTTATTGGGTTAATTAATGAAGGTCCGTGGTTATTTAATTATTTAAATGATCACTTTTGTATCAATTATATATATATATATATATATATATATAATTATATATAAATATAATTAATTAATAATTGTTATGGAAAGATATATATATAGATATATATTTATTGATATTTATAAGTATATATGATTTAATTAACTAATGAGTTAATTATGGAAGGAATATATATTTTTATATATATATGTTTATAGATATAAATTATTTAAAGATTATTATTTTAATTCATAATACTAGTTGGAATAGGATTTGGAATTTAAGGTGTATAAAAATACACATAAGGCTTTAGGGTTAGAGGTTTTACACGTTAGAAAAATAAAACAGACAGAGAGAGAGGAAGAAGAAGGGCTAACAAGGAGGAGGTCGGATCTGAAAAGGAGGACGTCGGAATTGGAAGAGATAATTAAAGCTTAAAGCGTCGATTTCGTTTCGAAACCTTCAGGCGAGTTTTCTCTAACTTTCCTCTTAGAACTCATAAGGATTTCACCTTGAGTATCAAGGCTTTAATTAAATTTATTTGTTTAAAAATTATGGTTAGATCGGAATAATTAAAAAGTATAAACTATTATATTTGATTTTTAGATTATTGGATTTTAATTGATATATATAGGTGTTATGTATATTTTAAAATCAATCTATAGGTGGATTTGTGACCCAAGAGAGTTAATTATGGTTTCTTTATTTTCTAGAATTGTTCTGTAATTTTCTGGAATTTTTCTGATATTTTTAGGAATTTATTAGGATTTATTTTCCTATTATTTGTTAGGAAAATAATTATATATATATATATATATATATATATATAATTGATACAAAAGTGATCATTTAAATAATTAAATAACCACGGACCTTCATTAATTAACCCAATAAGGTTTCATACAAGCCCAAGACCATATCTTTTGGTCTAACTTTCCTTAAGCCCAATCCAATTAATTTAAATAAATAAGATAATTAATTAAATACAGAAATTAAAATAACTAATTACATGAAGCACATAAACAAACAAGAATTTACAACTAAGTCATATAATACCAATAAAATCAACACACCAATAATTCAATCAATAATCAACCACACAAACAATCAATCATCATACATAATCACGAAATATAACTTAATTAAAATAAGATAATTAATCTAGCACTCAATAAAATAAAATAAATTATTGAAAAATAAAATAAAATAATTAATCCTAATTAATAAATCTTTTAAAATTATCGGGGTATTACATTCTTCCCCCCTAACAAACGGAATTCCGTCCTCGGAATTCACAAATCCATGAAATAAAAACTTTGATTATTTAATTTCAAATTTCATTATTCCTTTTATCCGTGTGGAAATTAACCCATCCACACATATTCATTATTAGCAGACACATCACGTAATTAGCTAATTCCATATTTATATAATTGATAAATATAAGTACACACTAGAGACTCTCACTGGACTAAAGCAGTTTCAACCGGATAGTGGGTATCTCATGTAAAACGCACACAAAGGTGGTTACGAGTCCTCCTTCTACCAGAGCCCACACATCCTTAAACCCAGCTACCCATCTCAATCGGCAATATATGCCTCCATCCTAACCACTGATCCTGAGACTCAAGCTTATATCATGGCCCATATATATGTGTGTGTATGTATATATATATATATATATATATATATATAATCCATTATATCCACATAAAAGTAAACTATCCAACCATATTATTTCAATGGCATACCATCCAACTATTCCGTTGACCTGACACGAATAAGTAGGACTTAACGCTATGGTTAATCCGTTCCCTTATAAATATATAGGTAGGACTTAACTTCTTTGGTTAATCCGTCCCTGAAATGCCACCGTCCCATACCGGTGTATTAAACCATACAATTCATAAATAAATAGGTAGGTCTTAACTATTCCGTTAATCCGTCCCTAAAATACCTCCATATTATTTTATTGGTGCATAAATCCATAAAACCCATACTTCAAAATTAGGGGAAGACTCAACGATTTACCAATACCTTCTAAATCGGTGTTTTACCATTTTCCTGATAAGACTCAATGATTTACCATTAGGACACACTAACGGACCGAATATAGAATACAATGAATCCTAAACTTAAGCTCTAAGTAAAAGAGTACACAACGCGGAAGTCACACAACGAAAGACACCCTAGGGACACTTGAACCTGGAGTGCTCTGATACCAACTGTGATACCCCCTAATTTTGGAACACGGATTGATCAAGTCCGCGCACAAAATCAAGGGATATCAAAACAATTTAAGTATTTAACAAGCACAGAATACAAAGATGAATAATAAAGAATAAATAAACCGCTGAAGAAAACTAATAAATAAATATTACTTAATGATTCTCCAACAATTACAATTCGGAAATCCCATAACTCAAGGACCCCTTAAAACATTATCCAATAATCTAATACTATTTAAAAATACACAAGATGAATAGACGAATGACAGTCTCCCAGTTGCGGATCCTCAACCTCGAGACTGGAACCTCTAATAACCTGAAAAATAAATCGTGGGTTAAACCCTACGAGCAAGTTCACTCTACCAGGCCAATGAAAACCAATAAGCAGATCATCTCTGATCAAAACCAAACCTAATAAAGTTTTAACTTTAATAAAGCACGATATACATGTCTATATATAATTATATATACTATACTAATCACATCCATTAATAGGTTTATTAAATTTTCATACCTATTAAATAATTATTAAAATAATATTCATACCTAGACCAATCTACCATTTCATTTTATAAAAACTCCTTTGACCTTAATCCCATCCTAGTCAGTTGTCTAATCATTTAAACAACAAATTATAATAAAAGAAATACTCTATTTAATCCCAACCCGATAATGATTTTAATTGTTTAAATCACATATCCAAAATTCAAGTTTTGACAAATCATCCACGTCTTCCCTAATATTATTTTATTAATGTAAAATAATACACTAACCAGTAAGTACTAAAAACTATGAGACACAATATCCACAATGTATCATCTTTAGCAGCAAGCACATTAAAAGTGTGGGTTTTATCAGATAGTTTCCATATTTACTTTCCCTAATGCCAAAGGCAACCAAAATTTGATGCATCTCCAACAGTATTATGGTTGGTAAAAATGTGTGAAATTCGCGGTCAATTGATGAAAAATAAGGTTTCTGTGAGTGTTACTTAAGGACCCCAATCGTGGTGCTACAACGTAGGTCTTTCACAAAATATACCAGGTCAGAGATGATCTGTTAAACCCAGTGGCGCACAGTGGGATTTTCATCTAATCTAGCAGGTACCTAGAGACTGAAAAACCAACTTGGAGCCTGAGTTTTTGAGGCTCAACTATCTGGAGAGAGGTGTTCTCTCCAAAATTTTAGTGCGTTTCAGGCCTAACTAGTTCAGCTGTGATTTTTGTGGATTTTGAGGCATCTTAAAGCATGTCGGCCTAGTTTCCAACGTAAGTGTGCCCCAGAAAAACCCTTATTTGAGTCATTTGTTGCAAGGTAGTGGAGTATTTCTTCAGCAAATGGCGTCTCAACCACATCAATGACATACTTCTTAAGTTGGTAAGAGATTCCAATTTGTTACGAATTGATTGTGATCAACAGTCGGAGACAAAGTGACCTAATTGAGAGTAATTGGGATTGACTTTTAATTATTGAGGGCGTTGCACTAGTTGTAGTTCTACAATGTACTTTGAATATGCAGTATCCACAAACAGTAATTAAAATATGGGCAGGTCTGACAAGACTTCAGTAAGTATTCATATATGTTGCTAGTATCATTCTTCCATTATGCTTCAGCCTTGTAAATTTTTAAAACCCTTTTAGCTTTGATTTAATAGATTTCGAATCATCCCTTTAGAACTCTATTTTAAATCCCATCCGCCACTTGTTTTGCTAATCAGCTTTATTATTGTTAACACAACATGCATGCTAAGAGCCAACCCAAGGTACAAGTCCATTGTGGGTAAAATTTCACTTCTCTCCCATTAGTTATTACGCAATTTATCGCTCCATAATCAATGTCCATACTCCACTGTCCATCAACACATCCAATTGGTTCCGCTTCGACTCAGAAACCCCCTCCACACTACTCTATAATTTTATCTTCCCATCTTAAATCTAATCTCAATTTCTGGTACACCCAATTAATGTCCTAGTCTCGGCTTTACTGACTTGAAAACTTTCTTGTGAGTTCCATACTAGTTTAAACATTCTTTGTTTTCTAATCACATAATTTTGACTTGGCTTCAATAATAATTGAAGTAACTAATAGTACTTGTGGAATGATAAAAAATAATCACAACCCGGGTATATATTGAATGAATATTCCTCAATCATTTGCTGCATAACAATACAATAGATTCAATGAAGCTACTAAAATAAGTAAAAACAGACATCAAGACAAAAAGGGAAATCAAATGAACAAATACTAAACATAACTGTGTTGAATTATGTTGAAATTAAATGAACAAATAATAAACATAACTGTGTTAAATTATGTTGAAATCGAATGAACAAATACTAAAACTGTGTTGATTGAGAAGTATACCATAAACATTTGTATTGAAGGTATGCTCAACTGCAGATAAGGGTATTTCAGCAAGAGGGCCAACGGAAAGTACACCGGCGTTGTTGACCACAATATCGATTTGACCTAGTTTTTCGAGAACATTGTCGATTACGTTTCGGACACTTTCATCGGACAACACGTCCAGTTCTTGAAGAAAGAACCTAGAATCGTGCTCCAGGTCCGCCATGGACGACAGTGACCGACTGGTCGCCACCACGACGCAGTTCTCGGCGGCGAAAGCGCGTGCCAGCGCGTGGCCTATGCCGCCGGCGGAACAGCCTGTAATCAGCACCACCTGTTTATCGTAGAACTCCATTGGACTCTAGGGGCTTTCAGAGTTTATGGGTTTTGGAAAGGGATCTGAAAATAATACTATATATTATTGTTAATGGTGATTTTTCAAATTCATGTTTATAGCCCCCAAAAGAAAAGGTATTTTGTAAATAAATCTAAATTGTGGTCATAAAAAAAGTCAATCGGCCCCTCAAATTGCTTTCAAGCATTTTATTTTATTTAATGATCCCTGTATGTTTAATTGTGCATTCTATTTTAATTTTGATCCTTGAAATTCAGAAAAAATAAAAAAAAAAAATTCCAGTTTAAACCTTTTTAAACTAACTTTTGAATTCCAAATTTTGTGAACTCCATCATATGAGTTTCTAAGAGATAAAAAAACAATCCATTTACACTTGTAAACTTGTATGTTTAATTTTGTGATTCTCGACTAATTCATCATATGGTATGTTTTTTTAAAAATTTTTTTTTATCACATAGTAGGTTAAAGACTTAAACTCGAATCTTACATGTGCATTTTTCAAAAAACATCATTTCATTAAATATTAAAATCTTTCACAAAATATGTTTGGGGTGTCTAGAGAATTTAATTTTTATTATAATGAATTTTTTATATTTATTTTGGACAATATTTGGGTCCTTTCCTAGGAGGTTAAAGTTTATCCTCCAGGTGAGGTAGAACACGTGTTCAAAAAATTTAAAAAGTAAAAAAATGAGTATTATTCATTTTTTACAGGTTAAACCGTTGGGTTTTTTTATTTGTGACGGTGATTGAATCTGCATATATAACTCTAGGAAGTACTCGTTGCTCTTTAAACTGTTTACATTCCTTCAATCAGTGACTGAGAAGGTGATCTTTCTTGTTTTTGCCAAAAAAAAATGGTGGCCTTAGATAACAACAATGTTACTATGTAGATAAATTTTGCAACTTAGCAATTCCACCTTATTAATTTTGTGATTTCATAAATAAAATCGTTCTTATATATATATTTGGTACGACAACACAAAATTCTTAATGAATACCTTTAAAAATGAATATTGCATATCTATTTACTAATATGGTTATATCCCCAACATTGAATTAATTGATGCATTGTGAATAAGAATATGGTATGAGTGGAAAGAGGAATTGAGATGGAAGTTGGGTATGCAAAATTACTTTGTGGGGGTGGGGGTGGGGGTGGGGGGGGGGGGGGGGTGGGGTTGTACTTATCTTTTTACTTTTTAAGTTTTTGGAACATGTGTGTTCGAATTTTATTGGTTCACCTCACCTAGAGGATGAACTTCAACCTCTCATGAGAGGACTCAAGTATTGTCCATTTATTTTTATGGACAACAGTTGCATATTCATCCATTTTATTTTTCTATATATATATATATATTTTTTTTTTTTGAGCAAGTGATTTTTACTAACAGGTTAATGTGGTCTCATCACAAAATTAATAAATATTAAAATAATTATTTTTGGGAATAAGTTCAGTCCACTGTTTTCCTTATTTATTGTTTTCCCCATTTTGTAATTATAGGCAATGTGTGCATTTGTGATGAGAAAAAAAACATCAACGAATAAAGATCACATACTCACCGGTGAGCCAGCAAGTTTAGTGTACTTATTTAATAAAAAAATATAGTTTGGAAATACAGAGTATTACAAAAAATAATACATTTATTTTCAAAATAAGACATATATTATGGAACATCTCAAAATAAAAACATGGATAAAAATTTTGAGACGGAGATATACATTTTATTACTAGTATTTTTAATTCTCACCTGTTAAATGACAAATTTACCATTATAACCTTGGTGTGAAATTGAGGACACTGAAGGCTGGGAGTCAAGTCAGTCAACTATGATGCATGTGTTCGGTGGCTGTTATTAAAGCGCGTTTGTGTAAAGAAAATGATATTTTTGGTCATAAATTCCAAAAGCTCCAATTAGTTTAATGACAAATTCACCACACGGAGGAGACATAACGCGGAATCAAGTCAATCAATACATGGACCACGTCTTCACTGCCCCCATTACTTTTTAGCTATAAAAGTGCTGCAAAGTGTTAAGTTTAAAAACATTAAATCGAAGTATTTATTTTATATTTTAAATTTTAACTAATTTTTTATTTATTTATTTCAAGTTCAAGCAGTAAATTTGATGCTCGCAAACATAAATGATATTTTGCTCCAAACTCCGAATCTTTAATTTTATTTATACAAATAATAGTAATAATTTTCACATTTTTTAAAATTAGTTTCTCCTTCGCATTCCTTTTTTTCTTTTTCTTTTTTTCATTATTGAGATTTGAGAATAACAATCCTGTTATCTAATCATTAATTTTCTCCCTCAATTTGTGTTTTTGTAATGTTAAGTCTGTTATACATACATAAGTTATATATACATCTCCTTCACATTGAATTATTCAAATATTAGGACTCATGTGAAAGAAGTTAACAGGAGTTTTTCTTCTAGATGTAATATTAAAAATGACCATACTAAAGGCATTAATTATTTGTTTGGATGTAAAATATTTGCGAATAAAAAAAAAAATTAAAATCTAACAAACAATATTTTACCTATCAATTTTTAACAAATTATTTTATATATCCAGCCCGATGAATTGGTCCTTAATCTTAACTTAAACTTTTATCAAACACAAAAAAAAATTAATAATAATAATAATAATAAAAAGTTAACCTAAAAGAAGAAAATATTTTTTATTTTACATCAAAACAACATGAGTCTAAGATGGAGTAATTCTGTATAGAATGAATGAAGTCGAACTCGAATTCGATCCATACACAAGCCACCAACCTCATATTTTGTCTTTGGTGCACTCATGGTTATGGGCTTGGTTCAAATTTGACTAGAAATAGTCAAACACGAGTAATGGACTTGGCTTATTGAAGCCTTCAGCACGCCAATGTCGAGTCAATGCATTTTCTTTAGTCAAAACAATTGAAAAGCAAGCACATTTGTCTCATAATAAATATTTAGGTAATATATATATATTTTTATTTAGTTGTCGTTAATTTATATTAAAAAATTAAAATACTATTTTTAGTATCACCGCATGTGCTCCAATTCCCAAATTCACACGTAGTCTGCATTTACAAAATTAAAAAATTAATAAATAAGAAAAACAACTTTTTTATTAGTGATTTTGTATTTGAAAATTATGTATACATTTGTAATCCGACCACATCAGCAGCAGTAAAGATAACATACTCACTCATGAGTAAGTATTGTTCATAAAAGAAATATTAAAAACCACTTTTTTTTTTTAAGTTAAGTTCCCAAAAAAAAAAAAAAAAACACTTAAATTAGAATGGATGTAGTGCAATTTTTAGGGCACATTCTCATTTTTGACAAGATAAAAGAAAATTTAAAATTGCAGTATTATTAAACGGGGTCTTACTAACTACTCAAGATTCCCAATATACTCTCTTACATCTTCAAGAAAAATTAAAAAATAATAACAAATAAATGAATCATAGCACTTGAAATTTCCTTCTTTCATTGGATTTGATGTTGAAAGTGAAAGTACCATTTGTTTCTTAAGAAAATTAGTCCTCATTGTCAAAATAAATGTCTATTTCTCCTTTTTAAGTTGAATAATGATACTTACACCGATGAGTTATGCACAATTATTAGGTTTACTAAATTTAATTCATTATTAATGCATTAAATAAATAAGAAAGTTGAGGTCCCACTTTCTTATATTTGATATGCTTTGACGAATTAAATATAATAGGCCTAACAATTCTGTTCAACTCATCGGTGTAAGTATTATTACTTTTTTAAGTTACTTTAAAATAAATGCTATTTTAAAAATTTAATATACAAAAATTGAAACTTTCTTAAACTATTCTAAGTTTTAATTGAAAACTTTTTCAAGTTAATAGTCTTTAGATAGGTTTAACTAAAAATTCAAATGGTCGCTTAAAGAGTTGGAATTGCAAATTAAAGGAGCTTATAAGCATCTAGCTAGAGATGCAATTTAAGCACAATCCCATATTTGGCTGTATTTGGACTGAATATATATATATATATATATAAAATTTTGATATCACTTTGAATTCGACTTAGAATATATAAAATCACCTGTAAATTACATATATTATTCAGGGTGATGTGTTTATGTTCTTTTGAGAGAATTTAATTTAGGATGTCCAAATTTACAGTTTAGATACCTCTCATCTACTATAGAAAGTTAATTTACCGCTGATCTACAGAGCCACACTTACGGGTCATCGAACTACACAATGTTCGAACTATATATTCATAAATTATAATATTAAAAGGGTTGTTGTTTTTGTTTTTTTTAATCTTGCGTTGACGCGGACTTAACTCTCAATAATTTCGTGGACTTCTGACCATTTCCACGTTAAAAGCACCCACTCACGAGCAGTTGAAAACACTATAATATAAATCAGTTCACACACATTGACACGGATAAACAGAGTGAGGCATTTCAAGAGAGACAAGTAGCCCCTGCTTACTGTCTTCAGCTTGTTGGCAGGGCTCTCTTTTAAGTGCTTGAAACCACCTCTGAGACTTCTCTTAATCAAATCAGAGTTAACAACAAATCAAAGCCACTGTAAGTCTCTCGAACTCTCTCCACAAATATATATATATATATATATATATATATATATATTTGTAATACTTCTTTGCTGGTTACTCACTATGCTTATATATGGGATATTTAATTAATTACTTCAATGGTTCGCCTTAACACAGGAAGATGTTTCGGAGCAAAGCACTAAGTTGGCTCTCACAGTCACAGCAACCAACGCCTTCAAGGTCACCAATAAGCTTCAAGGGACTACGTGCTCAAATCAATCCATTACCTCTCACAACATCGCCTCTAACTCTACCAATAAACTCTACGAGAGGTGATGATCAGATAGCTAATTCATCAACTCTCACAGCAACGCCTCCAACAATGGGACCAATAAACTCTGGAGGAGGTGGTCAAACCAACTCATCCGCTCTCAAAGCAAAGCCCCCAACGCCACCCATAAACTCCGGGGGAGGCGGTCAAACCAACTCATTTGCTCTCAAAGCAAAGCCTCCAACACCACCTGCAAACCCCGGGAAAGGTGGTAAAACCAATTAATCAGATCTCACAACAAATAAATTTATACACGTTTGTGGAGGTATATGATGTATCAAGCCCAGTAAAAATTATATATAGATTGGTGTATGTCGTGCAATTCTTAAAATGGATTGTGAGAATTCAAATCTTTGTAATGTCAAGTGGCTGCATGAGTTTGTTGTCATAAAAAAAAAAAAATAATTAGAAAACAATAATTTCAAGAACTTGTATTAATTATTAGTGTGTTTTTAGAGGGAGATCGAATTTATGGTGTATGACATCTTTTAATAAATATATACGTGAATTTACTTCGGTTTAATCATTTACTTGACCCCATTATTTTTTCAATTGTTGTCCTTAACCCCTCCAAGTGCAAGTGTAGTGAATGTAACTTACTTATAATTTCTTTCTTGGCCTAGGGCCAATAAAATTCTCTATCCCTTTAACAAAATTATCCTTTCAAAACAAAGGGTCAAGTGGTCTAGTGATACCAAAATCCAACTTTTCGAAGGAAAGTCCTAAGTTTGAGCCTATCAGTGGAGACATGTATGTGAATTTGCTTTATCATCCAAAAAAAAATTAAAAATTAAAAATATCCTTTAAAATGTCCAATATTGTTTATATATATATATATATCAAGGTTTCTCATGAATCGACAGAACAGCCAATAAAGCATTATGTACTAGAGCATGGATTTTTCGTGATGGACTGGAAACGTAAGTGGTGGTTTTGAAATATGGGTCTCTACTGGTACTGAACTAAATGAAAAATGTCAACAATGACAGCCATTGTATGCAAACCCACCACCACAATCACATTCAAGATGCAAGTAACTCAGGTAAGGTTCACTTGAGTTCATTCAACAAAAAAGCAGGAGATAGTATCATTTATTCGTAACAAAATAAGGAAATACTAGGAATATATATAGTTCTTAAAGCATAGTTAGATGTGTAAACATGTCGGATTCGTGCTGATTCGATTCGAATCTGATAAGGATATATTCAATTTAATAATTCTGTGAATATTTTGTGAATAAATTCATATCCGATTTGTTAATAAATGAATATCTAATCCGGTTCGATAATCCGGTCTGATTCGATATGGGTGAGTGTGTACATTTTTTCTTTTTTCTTTTTTGTTAAAAAAAAAACTAATGTCAAAAGAGAATTAAAACAATAAATAGATAAAGATAAATAAAATATAAAAAAGGAAAATTAAATCTTTTACTCATTGTTAAAGAATAAAAACTTGGAAATAAAGGTTGCATCAGAGCAAGATTTGCCTCCCTTCAGCTAAAGCACAACTCAGACATAAGGAGGATTACTTCTCTGGAAGCAATGCATCAGTTATTCTTACAAGGTTGCTCATATGCTCATGGCCAGTCATGGTTCCTACTGCAATAGTTCTCTTAGCAATTCCTACTGCTACTTGGAGCTCAACAATGGGAGTTCATCCTTGTGAAACAACAATGGGAGTACACATTCTATAACTATGTGTTTTTTTTTTTTAAAAAAAAAAAATTAAGATAATATTAAAAGAAGAGAAGTTACAAATGTTCCAAGTTAGCCCAGGCTAACCAAAAATTCTATAACTATGTTGCATGCTGAAAATTATGTTTTCTTGGTTTTTACACAATGCTGTAGCCTGCTGTAGAATCCCTCTCTACCAAGGAGTATGTTCCTTTCGTTTGTTTAGTTGGTTGGATCACTTTGTACATATTCTTTTTATTTATAAAAGCTTATCTTTTTAACAAAAAAAAAAAACTTGGGAATAAGAAAAAATAGAAAAAGTAAAGGAGGGGAGAAAATAATGATAAGAATTTTTTATAATATAAAAAATATTATATAATATATTATTTTGGATCACTTTGTTATTAGATCGGATCTACCATAATTCATATTCGATTTGTTTAACTAACGGATTATTGAATTTAGATCGGTAACGGGTCATCAGATTAAATCTTTAATCCATATATATTTGAGTTATCAAATTTGATTTGAATTGAATTCGGATCAAAATCCAATCCACTAACAGATCTAATCACAGCCAATTAAAAAACCTTGATCCTTTTTAGCCTTAATAGTCTCTTCTAACTTGGAAGCCACTGTGATGCCATTCTCAGAGATAAAAACAAAATCACCCTATCTTTCCTCGACAGATTGCTTATCATAGGGTAGGGAATAGCTTGTAAAACATCATTCAATTCAATGCAAGTGGTAAATGGCCATGGAATTTGGATCCACTTTTGTGCACCGGATTAAAATTTTCAGTGCATTAAAATTTTCAGGTGAAGACCGTTCAATGCATTAAAATTTTCTTAAATTTCACCAATTTAATTTCAAAGTCCAATTCCATGTAGCCGAACACTCCCTAAGGAGAAAAAAATTGATTTTATGTTTGATAAATTGTTTTCTTTTTCCTTATTATTCAACTATTTTTTTACTTCTTTTTTTTTTACTTTATCTTGCTGTATGCATAAGAAGATATTGTAAATTTTAGAAGGGGTCAAGAATTCGAGTCTTATGTGTGAGTTTGTTTTACATTTCCCAAAAAAAAAACATCACATCTCTGTTCCGAATTTGCAATATAAAAGTAACCCTTGAGGTCAACTAATTGGAACACCCAGAACTTGGACTTGCGGGAAGAACTTGGACTGATTTATATTCGCTTGTGCTTCATGAAGTCATTTGAATTGGTTCAACTAAATTGAAACTAGTAGGTTTTATTGTGTTTGTTAATTATTTAGTTGACACTGTCTGACTTGTACACGCCTAGTCCATACATGAGGAGGCCCCGGATGACATGGGCCAGGTCCGACTCGCAAAACACAACCTTCAGTCCGAACAGCTAGGTCAGCCCATAGAAAGACACTGCCATATGGGCCGAGCGGGAGTAAGCCCATCAAGGGTGACCAGGGCTTACAGAGGAATAGGCCCAGGTCCAGCAATTAGTAAATATCTTGTAAATATCTTGTAAGTATCTATAAATAGGAGTTGGAATGAAGAGGAGAGGGATCTTTTTGGGGGTTGAGGTGTAAGAATTCTAGAGAGAGAAAGAATAGTAGGAGTTTCTTGCATCTCCAATTGGCGCCGTCTGTGGGAAGCGCATGAAAGTTTGGTTGATCAATGAGGAGTATCGAATGGATTCAAACCAATTCGGTTGATCGAGACTCGATCTTGGGGATTTGAATCCAGATCTGAGCGATTGTGACCTACTCTGGAGGAATTACGATTCTTGAAGCTTTGGCAGGAGTGACTTCAGATCTACGCAACCACGAGTTGCTCGATTGTGGCAGGATCTGACGGATTTAGAGTTCAGACAATTCAGATCTAGTAAACAGTGAGCATAATTCGGAGAATTAGAAGCCAGATCTAAAAATTCCTACTCACGAAGCTCAGATCTACTCGCGAACTTGAGATTAATGCCTTTACTCCGTTCGGGAATAATGATAGGTGAAAGCTCCAATCCGATGGAGGCTGTCCAGCAAACAAAGCTTGAAGAGTTGATGAACTTGATTGAAGCTCTCAGAAAAGAAAATGCAGAATTGAAAGCTGGACTGCAGCATCGGTAAATACCTGCAGTTTCGCATCCGCTTCCGGTCGGAGAAGGAGGTGTTCCATCTAATATCGCGCATCAAGGCGATCAGGACGAGAACAATCAGTTAGCTCACCACCGTGATGAAAGGATGATGGACAATTTGCCGCCAAATGTTCGTCGAGTTGAAGATCACGAAGGATCGACTCACGTTGATCCGCAGCGGGAAAGGTTTGACCGAGAGGAAGTGATGGAGGTAGATCGCCGTCGAGTAGCGTCGCCTTGGCAGAGAGAGTTCATAGAGGAACGGTCGTTCGATCCGTCTTACCGGCCCTCCATGGTTACTGTCACTCATCACGGTTCGGAGGGCAGAACTGTAACTCACAGAGCTACCGCTGGACTCCAGAGAGAGAATGAAGCTCTCCGATCCGCAGCTCGGACGGTGGATTCACCATTCACCGACGAGATCTTGAATGCGCCGCATCCAAGGAAGTTTGCTATGCCAGTCTTTATTCTGTTTGACGGAACAACCGATCCGATCGATCATGTGTATCATATCCAGTTGAAAATGGCCCTGAATACGGAAAACGATTCTTTAATGTGCAAATGTTTCCCTACAAGCCTGGCCGGACCGGCGCTCAGCTGGTTCAAAAACTTGCCTAGGAGCTCCATTGGCAGTTTCAGGGACCTGTGCGATCGGTTCATAAGCCAGTACTATGGGAACAAACGCCCGCCGAAGGACATCTCGAGCCTGTTCACGATGCGGCAACACAAGGATGAACGGCTCCAGGCCTTTCTTACCAGGTTTAATCTCACTAAGAGTGTGGTGATCGAATGCCATCCTTCTACGGCAGTTCAAGCCTTCAAGTTAGCCATGACACGCGGAACTCCGTTTCACACCAGTCTGGTAGTGAATACGCCAGCTACCATGGATGAACTCAATGAGAGAGCCGATGGCTTTGTGCGCCTCGAAGAAGAGGAGGCAGCTAATGCTCGGACAACGTCGCTTGTGTCGACCGAGGAAAAGTCCAAGGCAAAGATCAGGCAGAAGCAGGCTCAGCCGCAACGTCAGACCACTTGGAAGGCCGAAAAAAGGTCCAGGGAGGAAGAGTTGATTACTCCGCTGAAGGTCACTCTGGCGAGGTTGTATCAGGAGAACAAGGACAAGTTTCATCCACCGCTGCCAATTAGACAACCCCTCGAACAGAGGGATCAAACTAAACATTGTGCTTTTCATTCTGATTTCGGACATCAGACTAACGAATGCAGGAACCTGAGGAGGCAAGTGGAGATGTTGATAGCTAGAGGGGAGTTTGCGAGTTATGTTCAAGGCTCGGCGATGGAGCAGAATCGACCAGTGGAACAAATAAAAAGGAGTCATAAACAAAGCTCCCACAATTCGCAACCAGTTCGTATAATCAATGCTATCCATGGTCGACCCGAGCCTAGTGAAGAGTCAGATGAGCTGCTACGGGTGCGCCTGCGGCAGGCGCAGATGAAGAAAAGGGTCGGCAATGTGACCACTCTACACCAGCAGAGCCCGTCAATGCAGATAAAGTTCGACTGGACAGACCTGCAGCGTGTTCAACTGCCTCATGACGACCCGTTGGTAGTCAGTTTGACAGTGGCAGATTGCTTGGTGCGCAGAGTTCTGATCGATCCTGGGAGCAGTGCGAATGTTATGCCGAGGGACACATTTGACAGGCTCGACATTAAACCAGAGAGGCTCAAGCCCACCGGAAATCCCTTATTAGGGTTCGATGGGAAGAGGGTAGAACCCGTCGG